CGACATTGGTGTACTGGTAAGCGCGCCAACGCAGGTCATTCTTGCTGAGCTCGGTATAAGGGGTCTCCTGCGCCTGGCGGGCGACAGATTGAATGGCTTCAGGCCCATAGATGGGTTCCTGCGTACCGGCAACGGAAGCGAGACTAGAGGGGCGGGGGACTTGAGTTAGCAAACAAAAGCATGTATACCAGTTGGACTAAGAGACTGAAAAGAAGAGCGAGCATACGTTGACTTGAGCCAGTTCATTATGGGAGATATGTGAGGTGTTGTGAGGAATCACAAAGAACAGAGGGAGGTTGTGAAAACAAGAGGATGGGAAGATGTGAGGAAAGATGGAAATCAAATCGATAGCGCGCGGGGCCACAAGGGGGGTTCGGTCGATCGTTCTATAGTAGCTTCCGGTGGTCTGGACAAATGCTGGGACGAGCAGCTGGCGGGCGGGACAAGACGGGAAGAAGAGCCCAAAGAGTACTTGGAATCACCAACAATCACAGCTGGTCTTCTGCCAACAGCAAAGGATCAATGGGGCATCAATCCAAACGAACCTCAGTGCACCAGATGAGTGAGTTGGTGGCAGGTGAAGCGCTGACCGCCAACTGGGCGCGGAATCCGGATGACGTCCAGCACTTGAATTGCAGGCGGATTTCCTGTTTGGGCTTCGCTTGTGTCCCAAATGGAAAGTAACGCCGACCCCGCGGCGCCATCCCGAATCCAGAACCCCAAGAAAACTTGGCCGCAAAAGACGCTCGCCGACTGCCGCATTGATTGTTGTCAGTTGCTGTCCAGAGACCCCCAACCGCTCCCTCACCTCAGCTTCAAGTCGCCTTTACTTCGTTTTTCACCCAACGTATCATCGACTATCACCATCATGGCGAAGAAGGCATTGGCCAAGGACCAGATTGTGAAGCTCATTGTGGGCGCCGGTCAGGCCAGTCCCAGTCCTCCCGTCGGTCCGGCCCTGGGTAGTAAGGGTGTGAAGAGTATGGACTTTTGTAAGGTGAGCTGAAAGAACACTCCATTGACAGCTTTAAATCGGATCCGTCATTTGCAAGACGTCCAATTGGAGCTATCTGAAGTAGAAGAACGCGCAAGGCTCATATGGTTTACTGTAGGAATTCAACGCCAGAACTGCACACATCAACACCGGTGTACCCATTCCTGCGCGTGTCACTGTCCGACCCGACCGTTCCTTCACCTTCGACCTCCGTACTCCCACTACCACCTATCTGCTGTTGCAAGCGGCCAACGTGGAACCTCGCAAGAATCGCATCCGTGGCGCCCAGAACCCGGGCCATGAGTTCATCGGCAAGATATCCCTCAAGCATGTCTACGAAATCGCCAAGATCAAGCACTCCGAGACGCGACTGTCTGGACTGAGCCTGCAGGGATTGTGCAAGAGTGTCATTGCCCAGGCCAAATCCGTCGGCATCCAGGTTGTACCATGAGATTATTGCGGAGCGGGCGATTGGTGATGTCGTTGTACACTATCTTGTGCCCTTACTCTCGTAAGGTTACTCCTCTTCTTCTCTTGGGCTTACGAAATTGGCGTTATGTGGAACTGGGTTTGTTACCATCTGTATCATAGGCATTGCATGTTGTATAGAGAGCGTTGGCTGGTGCCTCAAGCGATCACATGAAGTGGATTTGACTTCCTGAACATGAAAAAAGGGTCCTGAGTATAACGGTGGGCGTAGTGTTGCTGAATGGGCTATTTTGGGTTCCTGACCAGGACCTGCCGGTCTGCTGGTTGTCACGGTACCCCTATACCAAGTAGTATCGAGTCGGGTGGAAGCCCACTCGTCATCAATAGCGACATACACACCTGTCTTTACCTACCAATCCATGCCATATCCTTGCCAGGGCGGAGTTTCTGTTACTTTCAAGATCCAGCAGTGGTTGAGAAAGAGTAAGAAAAGGGATACTAGACTGTCGGTTGCTGAGCAGTCAATATTGGCACTGATCCCTCGCCAAGTTGGAGATCGGAGTGAAGGAGAGAGCCGAGCGAGACACAAAAGCCTGCCCAGAAATACCGCCGAGAAAGCCAAGAGGCGGAGGACACGCAAGTTTCCTCCTAACGTCTTGGATACGCGGCCAGGTGAGAGGTCGGGGGAGGAATCGTCGTACGGTTTTGTAAGAGACAAGCCCCTTTCTTCCACTATTTTGCTTGGCAGACATGAAAAGCTGTTTCTCCGCTCGAATCCTCAGAAGTTCCCTTCTTGGCTTCACAACGAAGTAACTCAGTCAACGGACGACAGAGATTGACAATAGCAGCAAGCCGGGAAGCAGGTAGGTGATGGCTTGAGGCGATGATGCCATAATCTGCAGATTTGCTGGGATTGACCCCACATTCTATACGTGTTTCTGGAACTGCATCAGAACCCTTGACAAGGGGCAGGAGGCGACTATCTTGAAAATGCAAGTAGCTGGCCAGATTGGGAAATTGGCCATTTACACTTCTCGTTGAAAATTGGCGCTCGTCAGTAAAACATAGTTGGGAGCCTTCAGCAGACTGAACAGACTTGCAGCGGGCAGCCAGCCTCTTCCTTGAGGATACGAGAGTGCTTATGAGACGGCTGTTGCTTCATCGTTGACTCTGTATATCTACCCCAGCCTCACAACTCTTTAAGGAGAGAGACCCAGCCGTCATTAGTATTCATTCTTCCCGTCGAAGCGGAAACTTTCCAGATCGGGCTGGGTTTGCCCGTCCACTGGATACCCAAAGCGGTATGCGGCGCCCCACACCAGCACTAGACCTAAAACAGCATGGTGACGCTATCGCGGGTTACCTACCTGAACAGACAGTTGCTTTGCTAGTTGTCAAATAGTCAAATTATAGTCCAGTAGGAATTGGGTTAAATCGGCGAGAACATCAAGTGGATAATTTCCCGCGTCTCCGATCCCGAAGGCCCCGATGATTGATTGACAGGAGGCGTGTGTGTCTATGGACATGGGCAGGCAGCTGACGGACGGACAGATGATCGAAGTGGTCGATTCATCAGCTGAGTGGACCGTGGGTTCGCCCTCACTCCAATCTGCATGCATTAAACCCACGCCAGATGAGATCCAGAAGAATCTAGCGGGGTAAGCGACCAGCCCATCCATGTCTGTGGGCTGTGCGGATCGGGGAATCTGGAGGGTCGTCCTCCAATGCTGTTCGCGGATGACAAAACTGCCCGGCTAGACGGCACCGGCAGCTGCTTTTTTTCTCCTCTCCTCGGTGACAACTGACCTCCGGAGCAGATAGGATAGATGAATGGATAGATAGATAGATGAACGGATGAATGGATGGCAAAAGGCCGTATGCAAGCGATATAACTAACCAACTAAATCCTACTCCATCACTAATCACCGGCTCATGACGGGGCGGCCGTTCGGACAACTGGCGCCGACGTTACCGGTATTTACATGCCTGCCTGCCTGCCTTACCCGTAACGGCCGTGCCTTGATGTCATGGCAGCCGTTCTCCGGGTTCTCTTGTTTTGTTTCTCCATCTGAACCTCTACTACAAGATAGTCGACTGGTCTGGGGGAGATGACTCCGACTTATGTACGGCTACTCTGTATGATTCATGATCCACACCCATCCCACATCCTCGGTTAGACAGATGCTTGCTTCAACTTCACTCACTGTATGAGGTTGGTAAATCCCGCACCATTACAATCCCAAGTCACAAGCTTCCTTTCCCAATCTTTTGTTCCCCTCCTTCTCCGCCGAATTCCGATTGAAAGAGCAGTCAAGATCCAATCTTTAGAGCACGGGGGGAACGCTTCGCTCCGACCGACCGCCAAGTAAACACGGTACAGACTGCATGTAACTTTGTGTGGGATACGTTCGTTCCTTTGGGTTTGAATTTGCAATAATGATGCTGCTTCTTTCTGTCCAGCCCTTCTGCTTTTTTTTTTTTCTATTTTAGGCCGGGTGACCAGCTAGGTAATCTAGACCTGAGCAACCCCCTTCCAGGGAGAAAGAGGGTGTGGGAGGAGGCTTCTAGAACGGGGGCTAGAGGAGTCAGTGGTAACGTGTATATATACACAACTCACCTAACCTGGTTTCAAATTCAATCATTCAATGAGGTCCTAGTGTACAAGTGGTATAAAGTCCAGTAAATGTGGTGGTGGTGATGGTGGTAAAGAAAGAAGAACCACCGCCCAAAAGAGAGTGTTTTTCTCCCCGTCCATCCCGCCGCTATTGCCGCCGCCGTCGATTTGGCTGGTGGCTCCAATTCCAAGACCGCCGCCGCACCTGCTTTGCTTTTTCGCATTTTGACTTTCTTGTTCAGTTCAATCTTCCCTGCCCCGGTGGAACCTCTCCGGTCTGCCTTCTCCCCTCTACTAGTCATAACTAGACTAGAACGAACTGCCTGACTAGTCTAGCTCCTCCTCCTCCTACTCCGTCCCTCACTACCTACTCCCTCCCTCAACTCACTCTCTCTCCATCCATCCTCGTCACTCTTCCTCATTTCTTCACGACTGTCGGTCTCTCTCCCCTCCTCTCGACTCATCAACGCAGCCGTTCTTGGATGGGGCGAATTCCTCCCGCCCCTCAGCACCTTTCCGCCCGTCCAAGTTCCTGCACTGCGTCGTCGTGAGTTCAGCCACTACTCTCTCCCGCATCGGTTTCTCGACGAAAGATTTGCTCCGTCTCGCATACCGAAACCTCCGTGCCTCTCCCACTCTTGTTCCACGAAACGTCTTGGATCGCCTCTTCCCACCCAGCTACTTCGATATTATATAGTGTCTTGCCGCTCTCCTGATCACTCTGCATCCGTTGTTTTTCCATTACTGTTGAGTTCATTCTCCCGGTATCTCCCGTGGAGGGGCATGTGTCCCACCCTGTGGTCTTGACCAAGTATGACGTCTGAAGCGACGGATTTTGCCCAAGCCAACGACAACATGAGTTCCGGTAAGCACCGCCCGTCCACAACAACCAATCCGGCCTTTTCCCTCTGACTCGGCTACCTCGCAACTTTAGCTGCTGAAACTACCCAACCTCCTGCCCAGATGGCCCCTGGACAGGCTACCGACTTTGCCGACAATGACTACAAGTCGAAGTCGCAACCCGGCCAGGTCCGATTTTCGACGATAACGGAGGAAATTGAGCCTGGGGATTCCTCGGCCCCTCCCCAAGTACCGCCGGCCGATGACTCGTTGAAGGATCAGAAGCAAGAGGAGGAACTGCGGTCCCTGGCTGCCAGCCTACAAAAATCCCAATTACAAGAGACGCGGTTGCGACAGTTCTCGTATGATCCGATCTCTCTTCCATCCTCCAGGGTATGTACTCCACCCAGTTACTCACAATGATCCTGTGCCGCTATTCAGCAGCAATGGTGGCGTGGGAGATCATGCCGCCCACTCCGGGACAGTCGGCTCCTCGCATGGCCTTGCATGATCTTCCAGAACTTCCAGATCTGAACAGAATCTGACTGCTGCACCCCCCCCCCCCCCTTACAGGTTGCGTCGCGAGAATCGAGCGAGCGCAGTGGTCGCGAAGCCAATGGATCAGGCCTGCCCTCTCCCCGAGACTCCCCGACAGTGTCCGCCATGCAGTCACCCCCGCTTACACCAGCCGCGACTCACTCACGTGAAGCCAAGTCTACTGATACCTCGTCAACCTCGAATACTACGGACAAAGGAGCACCGGGGCACTCCGCTGCGATGACCCCAACTACTTCCCCGCCGACCAGCGCGACCCTAAAGAACAAAGCCTCTCAAAGCGCTCCCTCTTCACGACCCTCTTCAACCGATCAACTGTCCAAACAGAATAATGTCGCGCAAACATCGTCCCATCCGCTAAATTCCCCGAAACATAGGGCGCAGTTCTTCGTCGGCCCCACGGCTGATGGCGGTGCACAGGACGAAAGCCCTCCGATGACTCCTAGGGTTGAGAGCTATACCCCTCCAGGCGCCATTACACCCGTCGGCGAGCCCAACGATCCGTATGCCCGCAGCAAGCGGCCCCCGCAGCCAAAGAACCTCGCACAACTGGACCAACGATTTATATTCAATGGTAGAGATGCGAAACGTCGCACAAACACTTCCTCATCTTTCACCCGCCCCATGTCTCCTCGGTCCGCCAGTGCAAGTGATCTCAGGTCCACCGAAAAGCGCAGCGGCTTTTTCGGGAGCAAAAAGGAAGTTAGGCAGCAGGAACCGGAAAGCAAGCCCCACGGCCACATGTCCGAGCTCAAGCGCTTCTTCAAACGGAACCACCATAAACACAAGCGTGCTGATTCGCCCTCATCCATACCGTTCAAAAAGTCTAGCCGGTCTTCAGGAAAGAACGGTCCTTTCCATACATCTGATAGTGTTCCGTTTGCTGATGACCATGGGCTCAACTCAAAGTACGGGAAATTGGGCAAGGTCTTGGGTTCAGGAGCAGGTGGATCCGTTAGGTTGCTCAAGCGTAACAGCGACGGCGTGACCTTCGCTGTCAAGCAATTTCGTGATCGCCATTCTTGGGAGAGTATGAAGGAGTATTCGAAGAAGGTCACTGCGGAATTCTGCATCGGCTCGACTCTTCATCACGGCAATATTATCGAGACACTGGATATCATCCAAGAAGGCAGCCATTGGTACGAGGTCATGGAGTATGCCCCGTTCGATTTATTCGCGATTGTCATGACGGGGAAGATGGTGAAGGACGAGATTGCCTGCGCCTTCAAGCAGATACTCAGCGGAGTGGCCTACTTGCACGGAATGGGCCTCGCCCACCGGGATCTGAAATTGGACAATGTGGTCGTTAATGAACATGGCATCATGAAGCTTATCGACTTTGGGAGTGCGGTAGTCTTTCGGTACCCCTTTGAGAATGACATTGTTCCTGCTTCTGGTAAGTCGCGCTCTGCTGATCGACAGTGCCAAATTGGGCTTCCACCTTCTAACGCGTGGCAGGAATCGTCGGCTCTGATCCGTATCTGGCTCCGGAGGTGTACGATGAAAAGAAATACGATCCCCGCCCCACTGACGTCTGGTCTCTGGCCATCATCTTCTGTTGCATGACCTTGCGCCGATTCCCCTGGAAGCAACCCCGTGTCAGCGACAACTCTTACCGACTTTTTGTCTCCCCGCCCACCCCCGGCACACCGGTTCCTGATACAGACCCCAAACGTCACCGCGTCGTTAAATCGTCTCCTGATCTCCAATCGTCTGCCCACGAAGAAAAGGCCTCGCCGGTTGTTGACCCCAAGAAGGGGCCAATCGATCAACCCGTGCAGGCTAATGGACGTCAGGAGCCCCCGAAGAGTACTGCTCAGACGGGTCCTACCGGCGGAGAAGAGAACCGTCCTCCGGAGAGTCCACAGGAACGTACGCCTACCAACAAGACCGCTGTCGAGGACAAGAATGGCCCTACTCATAAGCCAACTCGGACCACAAGCAAGGAAGCTCCCCCTCTTCCAGCTTCATCTCAGCCTTCCGGCCAACGCCAGGAAGTTATCAAGGGTCCCTGGAGGCTTCTGCGACTCCTGCCACGCGAGAGCCGGTATATCGTCGGTCGCATGTTGAAGGTGAGCGTCAATGAACGAGCCACCCTCGATGACGTTTTGACCGACGAATGGGTTCGCAACATCAAGGCATGTCAGCAGGAGCTTTCGGGTGAGGTCATCCGGGCCCCTGGTCATACGCATGTCCTGGAGCCACCATCGGCCAGTGTCCCAGTGCCCAGCAAGGCCAAGTGATCTACTTCCTCCACTAGGTGTATGCGATGGTGTTGGACCTCCGCCCCGTTTCTATGTCTTATCATGCCTTATAATTCCCCTGAACCGATTCATCCTACATCTATTTTCCCATTCTCATTTGGCTCTTTTCTTTCTACCTGATTCCCTACGGCCATGATGTTGGTCCGTTTCTGGGCGGGCTGTCATCATGATCTGGCTTGTTACTTTCTCGACGGTGGGTTTCCAACTCGGTCAGACATATACCTGGAATCCACAGTAATCACTTTCCCTTGTCCACTGTTTTGCTTATTTTCTCACCGCCTATGCTGTTGGAAAGTGGATGTGGGTTTCCTTTTCTTCTGGTGCTTTTTCTTTCGATCTAGGCGTTGAGGTCACTGTGTTGTGGAGCGGGGCTGCTCAGGCAAATCACTCTCCCCTATAGAGGGTCGGCTGCTAGATTTCTTGCTGTGAGATGCTTTTCGCATGTTCTTTGCTGCGGTTTCGTTCGCTTTGGTGCTTTTGGCTTCCGCATCTGCCTCGGGAGGGTTTTATTGTTCGCGCATCTGTCATGCCTCGGAGCCTTGTTTGTTCACCCAAATTGTCCTTTCATTGTAACCATGGAGACCAATTACTTTAGTAGATACTATAAATACACGAGTGACTGTATACCTGTTCATTTGGACGTTTGGCTTTGTTCCCTGTAGAATTGTAGCATCTGTCTCACTGCGGAATTCCACAGTTGACGTAAGGCAGGAGATGCGGAGATTGCGGAGTTTAGACTAGACTGGGGCGATAATCGGAGCCCATCAAAGGCTTCTTCCCACGCGACCGGCTCAACAGATCCTGGACTTCATCTTCCACCACCCTCCAACCCACTAACCCTGCCTGATCATGACCCAACCAGGCGAACCGGAGCCATTGGTCTCCTCCCTATGGACCCGATCCCTAATTGTACGTCCATCCCCTTCTTCCCTCCCAGCCTAGCCATCCTCCATCCTCCATCCTCTATCCTTCCATCCAGCCAACCAACTAACCAACCAACCAACCACCCAGTCCGGAGCCATCGCTGGCCTCACCGTTGACTGCTCCCTCTACCCCCTCGACACGATCAAAACCCGCCTCCAAAAAGCCCGCACACACGGCCCCTCCACCACATCAGCAGCACCCAGCCTCTCTCTCCGCCAAACCATCCGCGGCATCTACGCCGGTCTTCCCTCCGTGCTCTTCGGCTCCGCCCCGTCCGCCGCCTCCTTCTTCATCGTCTACGATGGCGTGAAACGATACCTCCTTCCCTCCCCTACCTCCTCTAATAAGGATACCACTCCCTCCCGCTCCCACATCATCCTCACGCACTCCCTCGCTTCCTCAATGGGCGAAATCGCCGCCTGCGCCGTCCGCGTCCCCACCGAAGTCGTGAAGCAGCGCGCCCAGGCCGGTCTGTTTGGCGGCTCGAGTCTTCTTGCCTTTAAGGATATCTTGGCCCTCCGCAATGCTCCCCATGGTGGTTACTTGCAGGTTCTCGGGGAATTGTATCGTGGCGCTGGCATCACTATTGCCAGGGAGATCCCGTTTACCGTGTTGCAATTTACTATGTGGGAGAGTTTGAAGGAGGGGTATGCGAAAAGGGTTGCTGCGAAGAATGGTGATGGGAGTGTTGGGGTTGTGCCGGCGTCGACGAGTGCCATGTTTGGGAGTGTGGCTGGAGCTATTTCGGCCGGGTTGACCACGCCGTTGGATGTTGTTAAGACGAGGGTTATGCTTGCAAGACGCGGTGGGGATGAGGGCAGAGTCAGGGTTAGGGATGTTGTGAGGGAGATTTCTAAGGAAGGGTTTGGGGCGTTCTGGAGGGGGATTGGGCCAAGGGTGGCGTGGATTGGTATTGGCGGGGCCGTGTTTTTGGGGAGTTATCAGTGGGCGTGGAATACGTTGGAGGGCAAGAGGGAGGTGGAGAGGGAGAGGTTGGAGAAGGAGGCGATTTGATGGGTTGATTGGTTAGTATTAGTCTTGTATATAATTATGGAAGTGGTGGCGGTCTGTATACTAGGGTATGGATACTAAAGATGAGGGTATAGTTATAGACTAGATGGATGGGATTGATATTATAGAACTGTTTCATGATTGTGATTTCTGTTTCTTAGCTTTTCTCTATGGAATTCTCCCTCAACATCCACGACATCTCCTCCACTTGTTCTGGAGTGAGGAGCTCCTTCATCTCCTGCAACGTCAAGAAGTCATGATCCTCTATCGCGAACCCAGGCTCGACAGTCTACACACATCGTCAACCATCTGTATCTTGAACATTGTCGGATTGCAGAGAACCTACCTCAGTAATCAACAACCCCCTCTCCTCCCCATCGTCATCGGCATGACCCTCCTCAGGCAACAAATAGCTCGCCTTCCACTTCCCCCCCTCAACCACCCACTCCACCTTCTCCCCTCTTTCCACCCCATGTCCCACCACAAACTCCTCCACTGGCGCCTTGCCCTCCTTCTTCTCATCCGCGTGAATCACCACATATCTCCCCCGTCCACGATGTAGTGTATGCACAGTCCGACTCTTGTTCCGGTGGAACGCACCGAGCGGCGACCCCGGCGTGAGGAAGTAGTGGATGCAGGTACCGGCGGAGCGAGTTGCCGCGCCGTTGGCTATGGGGATTTCTTGTGGATGGCGGAAGGTTTCCTGGTAGTAGCCGCCTTCAGGATGTGGGTGGAGGTCGAGGGATTGGATGGTTTGGGTGACGGAGGGGGGTTCTTTGGTGGGTTGAGAGGGAGGGGGGAAGGGTGGGTGGGTTTTGGTCATAGTTAAGTTGGTGTAGGATTGGTTCTTTGTTTTGAGGTGCTGGGAACTGTTGGATGTGAGTAAGCTGTGAGGTGGTATTCGGGGTTAGTGTGTGGGTGGTAGTGATGGGATATGAAGCAGGGTATTTAAGGTCGTATTCATGGGATCAATGGTGGATGGAGATGATATCAGAGAAAAAGAAAAAGGTTCTTGGCTATTGCCGCATCTAGTGGGTGTTTGATTTCAGGGCCTTGAGTAAAGGTTTATGAGTTATCCAGATGGCATTTTGGCCTCTCTTGTATAGTTCAAGTGCTGTGATATCATGGTGGAGAATGGTACCGGTAACTGGGAACTCAAATCCGACTTAGCATGGTGAGAACAGGCAGAGGGATTTTAGGGATAGCCTGTAAAATCCAGAGCGTATTTGAATGGCTGTTCTAGTCAGTAGATCAAATTGAAGATCAATAGCCGTGGGGGAGAGAAGAAGAAGGTGGAAGATGAGCAGATCCCCGAGGGAAGCCGGGGCTCGTGCCTCCCGCCAGAGAGAGACGAAGTGAGAGAGAGACTCGGGGTGAGCCCATCGTCAATAACATCCCCCATCCGCCATCCTTCCAGGCAACAAACTTCCTCTCCTCCTCCTTCTCCCCGTCCTGCTTCCCCTTCTTTTCTGCTCTCTGTCCTTTCATATTCATTCCTTACTGTGTCATCTTCCTTCGGGCCTGTCTTCACTCCCTACAACTCGGGGAATGTCCCCCTCCCCTCTGTCTCTGCGTGCCTGAGCGATCGTCGCTTCTGCCTCCGCATCGTCCCTTGCACCTCCGCATTTCCTCTTCCACTGCGTCTCGCTCCCCGCCCACTGCATGGCCCGAAAAACAAGCCACCAGAGGGTCACTTATGGTATGTTTGTTGTCTAGAGTCGGTCTGCTGGGCTTGATTGCCATTTACTCCCCGGTTACACCACCGCTGCGTTCCGCGCTTATCTGATCCTCCCCCCATCCCACGTATGCGCCAAAGTGGACTCGAGACTGACATTCAATTTCTTCTCCTCCCTCTAGTCCTCCCTCTGCCTGATGCCCCTGGTGGGCATAGACTAGGCGTTAATGGCCTGACGGTCGATACGGACAATTCCATCCTGTGAGCCTTCCCCGTCCTCTTGCGCCAGTTGGTCCTCCGCAAACCCGGCTGCGACAAACTCCGCCCGTTCCCGCGTCCAAAGCCACGCCAGTTCTAACTCCGCAATCTTGCAAAGGTATTCCGCTGGTCGCGATGGCGTTGTCTGCTCGTGGGACCTCAATCGCCCCCTCTCAGGCGCATCGTCGTCGAAATCCGGCTCGACAACCTTCAGAAACCAAGTTCAAGCTCACAGTCATTGGATCAACGATATTGTCTTGACTAAGAACAACTCGGCGCTCGTTTCCGCATCGTCCGATACCACTGTGCGATTATGGCGGCCACACTCGGAGAATACCGAGGTACCGCAGCCCATCGGCAAACATGCCGACTACGTGAAAGCCTTGGCAACGCCCGGAAATCATTCCTCTTGGGTTGCATCAGGCGGCCTGGATCACAAGCTCTATCTATGGGATCTGAATGGCGGCGGTGAAGTCCTTAGCATCGATGCGTGCGGGGAGGACCGGACGGCAAAGGGTTCGGTCTATGCACTAGGCGCTGTATCGTCCGTCCTGGCTAGCGGTGGACCGGAAAGCGTGGTCAGAGTGTGGGATCCGAAGTCCGGCAAATTGATCACCAAGTTCGTGGGCCATACCGACAATATTCGTGATATCCTCATCAATCAAGATGGCGATACTATTATGACTGCATCCTCCGACCAGACGGTCAAGGTTTGGTCGCTGACAGCGGGGAGATGCATGCACACCTTGACGATGCACAACGATAGTGTCTGGTCGCTTTATTCAAATCATCCTCGCCTGTCGGTGTTTTATTCGAGTGATCGGTCCGGCTTGGTTGCCAAAACTGACACGAGACACTCTGCGGATATTGAGCAAGGTGTCTGCGTTGCAGCCCTGCAGGAGCACGAGGGTGTTATCAACGTCGTAGCCGCCGGCGACTATATCTGGACAGCAACACCGAAGTCCAGTATCAATCGGTGGAGGGATATCGATACCACGGCTGAGATAGAAGCACCAGCGTCAGGCGAACGGAAGTCCAGCGCTGAAAAGGATGCGGCGAAAGGAATGCCCAAGAAGATACCATACGAATCCGTCCTCTTACTATCAAACACATCCACATTCCCTAATTCGAGGGTTCCTCGCGACGCGGCGCCGGGAGTGGCTCCGCATGCTCAGGGGCAGGCTTCCGGCTCAGACATGGAAGATGAACTGGGACTGACCCTGCCTGTCCAGTCCTTGCCGGAGGAGACGATAGAAGGACAGCATGGCTTGATCAAACACTTCATGTTAAATGACCGCAAACGAACTTTGACCCAGGATTCCGCAGGAGAGGTTGTCTTATGGGATCTTCTCAAGGTATGCTATGGTCTTGTGGTCGGGATCTGACAATCGCTGATACTTGCAGTGTAAACCTATTCAATCCTTTGGCAAGCGTCATATGGATGACGTGGCATCTGAGATTAACACCACTGAGAGTATTGCTCACTGGTGCACAATCGATATCCGCACCGGAAGGTTATCGGTGATCCTGGAGCCAGGCCGCTGCTTTGACGCCGAGATATACGCCGACGAAACAGACATAGAGGATAGTTCCCAATTCCGCGACGACCAGAGAAGTATGACAAAAATCCTAAAGTTGCTGCGTGACCAAGTGCTGATGACGAGGCAGTCAACCTGGGTAAATGGATACTGCGCTGGCTCTTTGCACCTCTCGTCGACGAGCACGTTCGGCGCGATGCCCAGTATCGTGCCATGGCGGTTGCTAGGGCGGAGGAAATGGCCAAGCTGACCACAACGAGCGCCTCTGCGCCAATGGATATACCGTCAGCAGATGGATCAAGGCGGCCGTTAGGCCTGCAGACTCCTATAGATCCCTCTTTCTCAACCTTCCGGTCCGGATACGACTCCCTCGGAAGCCCTACGACGCCCGGTTACGGCATCGGCTACGCAACGAGCCCGGGGACGTTAGGGTCACCCGTGCTGCCACCACATAGCTACAACAATAACAGCTACTTCGGGACATCCATCGGCGAGACTTCGGACTTCCTAACATCACAGCAAAACCCGGACCTGACTCGAACATCTTTCTCAGATCGATCGAGCGATTACTTTTCCTCATCGTCCAAGCCCCCGGGTCTGACTCCGCTGGACACAGACAAGGCACCACCGACGCCGGGAGAGCCGACGCCAACTGCCCTTCCGCAATCACCGGTCGAGCCTGACAAAGAAGAACGAAAGAGGGGGGCATCTATCTTTGGGAAGAAATTTCGGATGGACTTTCCCAAGAGAATGGGCCGGTCCTCGTCGGAAGCCAAGCCCCAGATTCAAGAAGAAAAAATCGAAGAATCGGACAAGTCATCGGTCAAGGAAGAGAAGGTGTTTGAAACCAACCTTGGTGGCTTCATCGAGCGAACCCGGCACGAGTACGAGGAGTGGCTGTCTGCCAACCCGGGGCAGGAGTTGGTGTCCGCCTTTGCTCCTAGTCCTGACAACGAGACGCCCGAATTGCAGATACCTCCTCGCACGGCTGTGTTTATCCAAGAGGAATCTGGCGACACGGCAGTGGCGTCAGACTTGTACAGGGGCACTGTGGGAGGCATTAGCCAGGACATTGAGAAGTTGGAGAAGCCCATTCCGTTATGGCTTGCTGACTTGCTGCTCAAGGTATGCATATTCCCTAATGGTTATGGTATCTGGCTAACATCGGTAGAATCAAATGCCTTTCAAAGAGCCAGTTAAGATTGCATTTACGCTGAAGCCTTACGATGATCTTTTGCCGCCTGTGGTCAAGCCAGAGTATGTACAGCGTGCCCGTGGGAGAGTCATGACTAACCAGGACAGGCCGGCTACGAGCGCAAACGCAAACAATAACCGACTCAACGCCAATCGCATGCTTCGAGCCAAGAAGATCCTTGCGTACGTGGCGGAGCGGATTGATCCACCTAACCCTGATGAGCCAGAGGAGGATGCGATGAAGCCGGAAGAGTATCTGGAGCTGTATTGCCAGAAGATGGTACGTAGCTATGGTTATCCATGTACATGGGGAAATGCTAACTAAAACAGCTGATACCGCCAAACATGACCCTCGCGACAATACGGGCACACATCTGGCGCTCATCTGGGGATATGCTGTTGTATTACAAAGCGAACGGAAAGAAGGAGATCAAAACCGCCCCAGATGGAGAGAGCAACCACCTTGATGGTGGCTCTCATCGATTCCTTGATCCCGCAAGCGCCAGCGGCGAAGCTGGAAGCGCGCCCCCAGGAAGCATCCACTCGCTGACCGCCTCGGGGTCGGGTGCTGCCTCGATCAGCAATACCTGATGACGCCGTGGTATTCTTCTCTGTGTATATTGGTGTTGGCATACCGAGCGTATGGCTGTACATAAGGCGATAGCAAGTGTTAGCGTATATTCAATCAATTCCACGAGTATGTTGTTTAAGGATGCAATGCATGCTAGGGTGTATATAAATACGCGTAGAAGTGACTTGCTCCTATGGACAGATGATCTTCGTTCAGGTCCAAGACTAAATCCTGAGATCGGAGATAACCAGGTTATCTGCAGTCAACAGAGCTCTCACGTGCTGTCACGGTTTGATACCAAGCGGCAACTGTAGTGGTTCTAAAATAAAGTGAAGAACAGGGCAACAACATATATCATCTTTAGATTCAATTCTCAAGATCTTAACTGGTAAAGTGACTGGAGATTCCCGATGTAAGGGGAATATTCATACTGCAATCGCCAACCCCACTGCAACATATATAAGACACCATCACATCCCGATATGCTCATCTGCTACTACTATTAGTAGTTAGTGTATTTCCCCTCATTCCAACTTCAACATCCCACATACAACTAAAAACACAACATAATGACCAAACAATCATCATCCCGATTCACCACCTCCTTCCGCCTCCACAAACAACGAACAGCAACCTCCCCCTCCATCCAAACCACCCCCGCAGAAACAACAACAACAACCATGTCCGAACAGAACCAAAACCAACACCAAAACCCCAACATCAACCTCACCATAGAAACCATTCACGCCCCCTCCACCACCCCCCACAAACCAACCAGCATCACAATCTTCCTCGCCGGCAGCACTCCCCCTTCCCCCACAACCACCAGCAGAGACTCATCCAGTTCCATGCGCATCTCCTCCTTCTCCTCCATCAAACGAGACCCAGCCCACAACCAACAACCACCATCTCCACCCCCAACCTGGCGAGATACCTTCTCCACCCATCTAGCCCATTACTTCCTCCCCAAACCAGAACCACAACCAGACACCAGTCCAGATAGTAATATCATCGCATCACCCCCCCAAACCATCCACCTAACCATCTACGACCCCTTCCGTCCAGACTGGGACAGCTCGTGGCGCGAAGACCCCTCCTTCCCGCCGTTCAAGGAACAGGTCTCTTGGGAGATGGAGAAGCGGGAACGGGCTGATATCGTGCTGTTTTATTTTGATCCCGGGAGTGCGGCGCCTATTAGTTTGCTTGAGTTGGGGCTTTGTATGCGTGAGCCAGGGAAGGTCGTGGTTGTTTGTCCGAGGGGGTATTGGAAGAGGGGGAATGTGGAGATCGTGTGTGAGAGGTTTGGGGTAACGGTGGTGGAGGGGTTGGAGGAGGGGGCGAGGGTGGTTGGGAGGAGGGTTGAGAGGGTGGGGAGGGAGAGGGAGGGTTGTTGAATGCTGTTTATTGGATGGTGATAGAGTGGATTGGCTGATTACATTGGTTAGGTGCTTCGTTTGTGCATCGAGGGCTCTTATAGATGATATATAGTGAAGTATGAACATGATCGATAGATCTGCTGTGTCACAGCCCGAGACACTATGAGTCCATAGAGTATGGACATAGATAATGTAGCTGATCAAGTCAGTACTAAGTATAGCGTCTCAACTGGCGACCAGAACATGGACCTACAAAGTAGCAATACGATTGGTGCTTAGTAGATAATCAGTTGCTGTTTAGTTTAGACTCTCGATTCTCTTTCCCAACAATGGATAGTAATCTATAGAACCATTACAACGGCGTGTTTTACACTGATAGTAAACCGTGCCAGTGAGTATCCAAAAACACATGAGACCTTTCTGTTTGTAATTTTGGAAATATCTGCGTTGCTTCAAGGTACCTTGTTCCTTCTGCTAAGAAGCATGGCCATAGAACGAATGATCCGTTATGTTGTAGATAACGAGATAAATATCACCAAAAGGATATATAACGCGTTGTACATCATATTTCAATGAAGCAGGATATTGCTAAAGTAGGGCAAGGAATCAACAATATACTGGCAATTGAAATCCACATATGCTGCTCGTTTTGTATTATGCGCCTGACTATCATGTGTCCAAGCGTGGAAGCTCAGAACCTGCATTAGCCGGCTCTCATTTAAGAAGGAACTGTTCTGAGTCAAATTTAGTATAATGGGTGTGATTGCTAGGCCAGAGCATCTTTATTTGTCTGTGTCAGGTTTGTTCTTTATGTAGAGATTCTCGAGAGGTAGGGTAGATAGGAAAACCGCCATGTCAGAAGGAATTAGAGGCCCTTCCATGAGTATGACTCTCTGGACAGGAGTCCCATCCTGACCGAGCCGCTGATTCAGTATCCTTTAATATGGGGGCGCTGAGGTTTTTGTTTTGTCTTGCGCGAACCATCCTAGTGGGATCGGCACAAGAAAAGATACATGCTATTATCTGTCATAGGCATGGGAATAGTATCGCCATGCCCTACATCAACCATACCATATGGCACAATGATCTTGAAAGTGTAAATAAGCGGTATCAGCCTGCAGCATCCACTTACACCCCTTTTTAAGTGTGTGCCGTTTGGGTCTGACATTGGCATAGAAGCGAATTCTAACACGCGATTTTCACGTCGTGACCATTCCCAGCCTAAGTAGTCTTTCCCCACAGACATTGACACCTTTTCACCATCTGCCCAGTCAGATACCGTAACCCCATGCATGCCAGATGCGCAACCAAGTGCTCAGCAAGGTCCGAATACTCTCTGCCTTGATGTAAGCAGCCGCACCGTGAACCCCCAACGCGATGTTCCATTATCTTGCGGATGGCAGTTAAGTTTGGAGTGGAAGCGATGTTAGCGGTTATAGCAATAGGGGTACAGGTAGCAATAGCAGAGACAAGAAAGAATGTGTAGGAGTGGCAGCGGTAGAAGGTAAGGAAGATAGATGTAACTGTGAGAGGATTTGGTGGTGGCAGTACTGAGGGAGGTAGTATTTATAGTGATGGTTGATAGTGTTGGTAGAGCCAGACGTACATCGACCCGAGGGATGATAGTTCTCCTTTGGTCTTCTTGGTAGCATTCTCTGCATAGTGTTAGAAGCAGTTGTGTTAACGATATATATATGGGGGCCATGGTCATGTTGTAATCATGGCAGTCACCGGTGCACGAGAATTGAATGTCTGCCGGTACGGACTGATCACCTCAAACTGCTTTATTCAAACCCCGCCTCAGTCAACATGACAAGTGTCGCAGCGTGATAGCAGCCTGTTTCCTTACTATGTATTCCTGACAGCACAGGGGCACCCACACAGTACACTGATAGGAATGATAGAGCAATATTTGTCCAGCCTTTGAAACAACCAGAACATAGTATATCCGTAAGTTGCGCGTTGTCTCTCACAGGTCCTTCGAGATCGTTCCGTAGCAAGACAATGGCTTGCTGACTTATCTTCCATTGTCATGGTTCAGTGCTCTGTTCAGACAATAGGTCTTCAGCACGTCGATGATTTCGGAGCAGCACACGATAATTTGAATCTGCTTTTCTGGAGACTGTATTGCTGTTCCTTTCTGTCTGGACAAATTTCCACCGTCACGCTGCTTCATTTGTTCAGGGCCACATATACTCTGTTATATATAGTCATTTCAGACCAGAAAGTTTAGAATTCATGACCAGCTGCCTGGGATCTTTCGTTATATATCCGGTAAGTGCGTAGGAAAGAAATAGGTGAGACTGAGCGTCGTGTGGGAAGAAGATTATTCCACATATACATGGCTAATTCAGAGAGACATCGTCGTAGTCGGCCATTGTACAAGAGCCTGGGAAGTGCAGAAAGATCAGACACTCGCGGAGCCGTCTCACGGAACGGTATATACAATACAAGACTTCGCTGATCAAGAACGGGTCGCATCCATTGTCCCTGAGATTGAGGGACGAGTACCCACATGGACTGGTGAAAGCACTGTCAGATCTCGGATGGATCATAGCAGCAGTACTATACTTGTCAATGGGTTCGTGATAGGTGTGTATGTGTATTCACGTCTGCGACTTCGTAGGCATAGGAGCGATAGTATATAGTTTTATTCATATCGGATGACTGATAGTGCATGTGGAAGAGGGACTGCCCGGTCACATCCTTGAGACCTTCATGAGATAAAACCACTCATGCGTGGTTACTGCAATAGCGTTACTTGGATTGTGACCATGGGGCTTTCATCTTCATACTTTCTGCGAAAGTTGTTGCCATTGGCTATAGAGCTCGGCACTTTTGTCTCTCGGAGCTTTTCTTGTTAATGATGGAGCTCAACATAACTCGCCATGCTGTTGCTTTCTCGAGCGCCAGAAACGCAAGCAGAGATTATATAGATATACCCGGGAGGGGAGTACCCCCAGAGTTTTAAACTATGTATGAATGTTTGTTCAGAGGCAACTCTGAAGAGAATGATAGCTGAGCAAAACAGGTAAGGCCTCCCTTATAAGGTATTGTGCTCTAGATTCCCTGCTTCTGTAGGAGATTACCGATCCTGTGTGTGCGAGATACAGAAACAAAGATATCGGAATCTTCCAGCGGTGTATCTGGGAATCATGCAGGACGGGTTTCTCCGCTGTCCTTAAGACTTTGTAATGGCCTGTTAAGTTACTGGTTTTGTGCATCCCAGTTTTAGCATATTGATTTTGGAAAACAAAACCGATTAATGTAGCCAGTCTACAAAATGCCTGCACCCCTTCAAAATGGCCTTCTTCCAGCGAAGATATGGAGTCTAATTCTCCAAACCCTACCAGTACATCGTTCGATGCGATCTCGAATAAGAGTATAACAATATGGCAGCGCGGTTTGGCGATTAGGGTAAGGCTATCCACTACTTCCTCACAATTGTTGCATGGCTTGCGCTTCCGGAAGGCCTCTGTCAAATACAACTACCAGCTTACTATATCTGACGCCTTAAAGGCGATAATAAGATAGGAAGTGGTGACCTGAATAAGTGAACATAGTCAGAGTAGACTTATATCCCGTTAAACCTCTCAATAGAGCAGTGGAAAGCTCTTCAATTAGCACTAACCCTTCACAGACTTCCAATACTGTTCCATCACCTGCTTAGCAGTAAGAGGCTTAATATCCGGGAATATCTCATTCAAACTTCCCTCCCTAGCAATCCGCGCCTGACCCATAGCCATCCAAGTTTCAAAAATAGCCAAGAACCACTGAAGCCTGTCCTTAGGAAACTTGTTATACGACTTGACATGACCCGGTAGCTCCGTAATTTGTGATGCCTTCAGCTTGTCGATATCATCGTAGACGACGTCGAATTTAACCCCCTTTACCTCCTCCGTAAGCTTCAATAATTCATTGAAGGTCAGTTCGTCACCGACAATGCGGAGCTCCCGGGGCCACTTTTCGAGATCGAGCGCGGCAACCACGAATCGTGCGATATCAAAGGTGTACGTGAAAGTAACTGGCGTGTTGCCATTTCCGGGGATCGCAGCAGCATTGTTCTCCACATCAAGTACCAGCACACTGTGCGGGTGGTACGACTTCAATGTTGGAGGTGAGATGTATTCTAGGAATGTCCCATTATAGACGGGGGCCCATTCGAGGTTAGAGTTCTCCAGGGCTTTGAAAGAAGCAAAGTAGTGTTCAAGGGGTGGCAGAATAGAGACATCTCTACGATGGTTAGAAGGTGTGATATGAAAAGCAGGATGGAGACCTACTCTTCCGGATAAGGGATGGCAAAGGAGCTAGGAATGAATCTCTTAGTGACAGACGATGCATCAGCAGCTTTGATGAGATTCAGCTGCGATGTTGCGAGGGAAGTAGCGTTGATGCCGAAGGCGCTGATGACAGTGTGGATGTTGTGTTCTTCGAGGAATAACGTGAGCGAATTGATGTCCTCATAGTTGACTTGGAATGTTGGGGCAAGCAGCTGCTCATCTTCGGTGGGCTCCTGTGAAGCATAAGATGATTCGTACTACACATATGTGGTAACCTAAGCTGACTTACTCTTCGTGTGAGGGCGAACGCACGATGTCGGGTCTGTGAAGCCATCACCTCCAGAAGGGTACGCCCAACAGCACCTGTTCCGCCCGCAATGGCAACGTTGACCATTTTTATATAAGTCTTAATACTACAATGCCAGAGACAGAAGACTGTGAATTGTCGAAATAGTGGGGAGGGCTCACAGACTTTTATATACTCGTGTTTGGTGAAACAATGCCGGAGTTAACAACCGGAGATACGGCTGAGATGACAGCTGAACCAGCACTTGGCTGACTAGTCGCGAATATGTTGGCCCACATCATTCTCATGAGTTGCAGGACTAAATAATTCCCTCTAGCCTATCCCGATCAGAGGAATTAGAAAGTGAAGAAGTATGGTTTCTAATCAGAGAAAGGTATGAATCACGTGATTCGAGGCAAGGGATGACACTCACGTGATATTGGAATATCCTGCGCTTTACTTGTTTGGGCGCCGTGTCCTGTGTATCAGCCACTCTATATAACCTCCCCCTTAAGAGCTTTGTCCTTGGTTCACGGCCTAAGGTGATGTTTCTTTCATCAGACAATCGCAGTACCCTCACAATACTACTACTTGCCTCTTCTTAAAGATGGAAAATGGCAAACAGGCACAACCGTATCAACTCTTAGTCGATCTATTCTTGTCAGAAGAGAGTTTGGACGTCACAACCACCCGCGACTCCTCCATCATCAACGTCAAGGAAGTAGTGAGACGAAGTCCCAGGCTAAGAAGGTTTGCTGGATATGCAGATGAGTTTGTTCAACCTGTTTTCATCAACAAGGGCCAACAAGGCTTTATCTTTCGGTTTGAACACAACAAAAGAGATCTCTGCTTGAAGTTGGTAGGTTCATTATCCTTATCAAATATACTCAAACTGATGATGTATCTATACAGTTCTATGACTACCAAGCACCCTACACTGTCCAAGAAAGAATCTTAGCCTTTATCTGCCCATTTGCATGTGAATCACGTGCCTTTGCTCGTCTATGCGATTTGCACGAAAATGGTCATTGGGCAGTGCAGTGCCATGGATGGATGTATCTTACAGACTCCCAACTTCAGCAGCTTCAAAGAGTAAGTGGAAGGGAGAGACACGACCCGAACTGGAACAATGCCCGCTGGGCGATTGTTAAAGACTCCATTGCTGAGGACCCACTAAGCCGACAAGACGAAGGGTTCCAGCAAATCGTGTCAAATTTTGTAATCCCAAGACGTGGCCGTCTCATGCCCCAGGATGTAAAGAAAGCAAACTATAGAGGAAGTCTGATTGTAGATCTGGGATCTACTTTTACCTTTCCATTCTACCGGTCTTACGCTAGCCTGTACGAATTTAATGCTATCTGCAAAGGTTTAGACGAATATGGATTACCTGATTGGGACCAGTGAGACCTATCAGAAATGTGGGCTCCAGAGAATACATTCCTCTTCGGCTAAATCGTCCAAGCATCCAAAACACCTTTAAAATCACGCCCAAAATAACTATCTCTGGCTGGTGTGCACAGACTATCACGCTGGCTTGGTGAAATCACAATGAGTTGTACCAGCTACGAAGATGACATGACCACCATTGGAATTGCGCCCTTGCAACACGCGCATATCCCATATTCGGCTTATGGACCCTGGAAGCTGACGGTCAGCCTGGCACTATGGGGTATGTGTATGCTTGCTGCAGCACAAGGCACTTCCACCCTGTTGCAAATCAAGTACCCTTATGACCTGCATAGCTGCATACAAGCTCAGGGCGGATTCTTCCAGTTATGAACTGGAGCAATGATATCACAAATGCCTGAAGGCGCTCAGTTGGGCGATGCACCTCGGATTTTGGTTGTTGCCAACAATCATTCCTTTTCAGCAGAGCTCGTCTGCACTGCTGAGCGGCATCCATCTGGGATTGGGTTTATCGTAACGCTTAAGAATGTTACGCTTCCAAGACTTGTCGTCGGTGAAGCGAATAGATTCTGGAGCCGAGTCAAGCAACAGTGGTATCATATGATGTTGGTAGATAGGAAAGTTGTCTGGGAGAAAATGGAAAAGTCGGTCTTTTCATACTTGGACTTACCTCTATTAAGTTCAATCCATATTGTTTCAATTCGACAGAGGCTGTCGCATAAGATGTTTGTTATGCAAGTGCCCAGACGGATTAAGCAAGAATATGGATTTGGATGCTGGCAAGCAGCTCAAACCTCGCATAAAAAGACAATAAATACCGCAGTGCCGCAGATGTAGGAAAGGTCATCGCCGCAGCTGAGTACAAAACCGAAGAGAAGCTGTATACACGAATATAGAAATATAGTGTTGCAATCTGCATATCAATTCACTGCGAGTCATCGTTTGCCGTCTCTATTATCTACCATTTCCCTGCCTCCTACTTGCTTGTTTCATACGGTAGTATGCGTATTCTGCGACCGACTTACTCCAGGACATGCATGAGTCCTCCACCCAGCGGCTTTAGTATCTATCTTCATAAACCCAGCGCCTCCTTGTCCACGACCTGGGTCGGATCTTCAGTTTTGGGATCAAGTTCGACCTGGCGGGCAGTATTGACTCCACCTAGGAGCAGTTTTATTATTGGCAGAATACTATAAGTCAACAAACCTCTCCGGTTCGTGCTTTATAATTCACGTTCTTCTTTCTAGCTGTCGACTTTGCTGTATTTTCGGAAGAGATATACGTTGAGCTTGATGATATTCAACATATGCTCGGTCGCCGCCTTATCTAACGGATTAGTTAATCCCAGTTAAGGCTGATTAATCTAGTGATATCGTGTGTGAGAGATGCAAGGCTCGCTCGAAATTGGGCAGGGAGGATAACTCGAGTAATTACTGTCATCCATATGCTCCAAAGCCACCCGTGTTGGTGCCGCACCAGAATATAGCCAATCATAGGCATTCCAGTTTCAAGGAATCCGAACAGTACCAATTTAACTATCTCAAAGATAGGTTGGACATGAAATGCTCAGGAAATCATAATTGTAGGCAGTCTCGTAAAACCCTCACTAGGCTTCTTGTTCGAACATGACAACAGCAGAAGCGACAATAGACGACTTAAGTTCCCGGTCCACCTCAAACATATACTATAGATTATCTAGACAATGCTGATAGTCCTACTGCCCCCTATGCTCAGCCGAACCATGCCTCAAATTCCTGGGATCACTTATCTCCTTCCGTCCTTTTCATTCATTCTCGTTTGGCAGATTTTGCATTATCCTCTCTTTATTCATCTATGATTACTGGAGTTTGGCATCTCCCAAGACCCGGAAGATGAACTTGACCTGGGAACGGGTTCGGGCTCGGGTTCGGGCTCAGGCTCAAGCTCTCGAGGAGGACACTCATCCGCTGAATTAGATAATCTGCAGTCCTTACCCCGAACAGGAAGTCCCATGTTGACGCATAATCTCTTACCATTGTTTTGTTTCTTAGATGAGGCCGACGTCGAAAATCCCCAATCATCGTCCAATTCAGGAGGTTCAGGCTCTGCAGTAGGAGGTTCAGACCGTTCAGCAGAAGATTCACGCTCTGCAGCAGGAGGTTCATGATCCGGAACAGGAAGTTCGAAATCTTTACCAGGGATAGGAAACCCTATCTTGATCAAAGACCTCTCACGTTTCCTCCGGTCTTTTTGGGTGAGTGTGTTCCAGTTGTCGTAGAGATGGCAATCTGGTATCCCAGGAGCTAGGGAGTCAGGCTCAGGAATAGGTTCTGGCTCCGGTTCTGGAGCTGGAGTTGGTATTGCCTCTTCTGCAACGGATCTGAATAGTGGCTCAGGCTCGCATTCAGGCTCACAGTAAGGCTGCTCATACGGAGGCTCACACACCGGCTCATACGCAGGCTCATACACAGGCTCAGGCTCAGGCTCAGGCTCACAGTAAGGCTCCTCATACGGAGGCTCACACACCGGCTCATACGCAGGCTCAGGCTCAGGCTCAGGCTCACAGTAAGGCTCAGGCTCAGGCTCGCACGGAGGCTCACAGGAAGGCTCCGCATATGGAGACTCACACAAAGGCTCAGGCTCACACACCGGCTCACAGTAAGGCTCAAGTATAGGCTCAGGCCGAAGCATAGGGTCGTGTTCTTCCCTTGAATTGTCCAAGCTTTTCACATGATTTACTCCGCCTTGCTCCCTTTCGTAGAGTGCCAGGACTTCATCAACAACGAAAAGATCGAAGCGTCTACTATGTCCAACCTCATACTCCTTAATGGTTTGTCTGAGCTTTCCATCCGTAATGCTGAATGCGATACTCAATTGGTCACGAACAAAGTCCTCAAGCCACATGCGGCAAGAATACTCCGCAACCAGGCTGCCATATACACATCTTATGGCACGCAGAATGTCGTCTATTGACAATCTCTCGGCGAATCGGGCCGTAAAGCCTTGTGCCATGCTCAGTAGCCCCGGGATCTGGTACCGAGCGGCAGCCTGATACGCGTAGACTGCGCGCTGGAACTCTATGCTATCGCGGGCTTTGGTTATTGCGGGGATGTCGTCCGCTGACTGAGGGGGCTCAAATTGTGTTTCAGGTGTCTCATACTGCCCAGTGTACAGGTAATGAACGAAGGTATGGGCAACCTCTGGGTGGACGTTCAGCTCATGATGATAGTATTCACCGAAGATCTCCCGGCGCACAGAATTTAGTTCGCATAGCAAACTCTTATAGGGTCGGAGGTAATGTTGTGGAATCTTGTAGTACATGTCTTGAACCTTGAGAGTGATGATGGGGGAGGTGTAGGGACTATACGTATCCTGAAGTTAGAGATGGCTTCATCAGGCGACGTACACAGTGAGTTGGGATACATGTAAACAGGCATAGAGAAGGTGGAACGCGGGTATGGATGTGACTTACCATTCAGTCACTTGCTTGTAATCATTGAGCACTGGGATATTAAGGGAAGAATATTCCTCAGCGGGTGGCTCCGTAGGTTGCTCGGCCATCTCGTCTTCTGGACGTGTCACAAGAACTTCATCTTCCGGGGATGTGCTAGGCTCTTGTGCCCAAGTCACGCTACTTGACTTGTTTTTTTTCTTCGAGCAACCCTTCTTACCCATGACGATGATTGTGTCGGCAGCTTGCTGACAAGTAAAGGTGTTGATGTCTGAAAGTCCGGGAGGACGCCTTCATATCTAGGATCACAGGAGGTAATAAACAATGTCAAAACTGCGATGCTACTGCGGGGAATGAAGTCCAGTCCCGAGACGCAACTGACACGTCATACCTTATTGCTGCATACAAGGCTGCGATACTCGAGACATGTTGGAGTGCGTTGGCATGCAAAGTGATTACGGGGTTCCATACTGCTGGGACGGGGCAGCCTGTAAGAGCGGCGGCGCGGTATGCATATTCAGTTTGAGAGCCATGCATGGAGCTGTAAAGCACCAGCTGACACTATTGCCTACAGTAGCACCCTGCGAGCGGTACAATCGAATTGTTGGTGGAGTTGTACTTCCGTTTTAGGACAGGTGGGACAGAATCAGCCTTGCGCGCTTTTCAACTGCGAGACCATTGCATGGTGCCTCAAGAGACTGCGGCATAATAAGTTCGGAAGCCGAGAGCCTATCCATAAGAGCGACTAGGAGGTATTCAAGCGCTTAGGTGTCGGACATGGAACATCACCTCTTAGTTCAACCATGATAACCGCCGAGTGATTCAGCGCCAACCGGAAGGAGACCCGATCACGTCGTCTGATATCTGTTGGCTCTGCGGGAAATGCAAGCTCACTGGATGATAGCCAAAGTACTGATGTCCTTATGCGAGTTTGCCCCGGGAAGCTTGCCCGAGGCTGAACACATACCCCGCCGGACACCCCTGCTAGGCGCCTGCGCCAACTTGCATCTGCCTGCTGCGGCGGCAAAGGAATAATATGCTGACATCCAATCAATCAACCGATCATGTCTAACGCTGTCTAGAATATTGCCAACGCGCTCTTTTACGGTAGACAGCCTTGTTAGGGTTTCCGTTGGGCCCCTCCTGGCACAGCCACTTCCGTAGCCACACATAGGCGCTCGAGAGAAGCAATGACGATACTTTGCAGCTCGGTGTCCAATATATAATGGAGCAACAAGCTTGGCCGATGGCCGTAAGAATGATCGGCCTGAAAAGCCTCTTCTCTGCCGTCTACGGATTTTTTCAGCACTAGGCATTCTATTCACCGGCAGGATCATTACAAGGCTCTTCTTTCCTCCCAATCCCTCCAACTATATCACATCAGTCTTATCATGCCAGCAGCTCCAACTTCTGAAGAACGACAGATCTTTCTCGCCTGTAGGGCCATCTTCAGCGGTGGGTACGCGGGAATACGAAAAACGAAGACTATCCGCACACGCTTGGAAATGCATGAGAGCTCCTTGAGATTCCCAATTACAATCTAACTGTGGTTGTGCCCATTGTTAAGGCGCTTCTGGAGAAGCGTCTCTTTGGCTCGAGTGCCAAAGCTGAAGCGTACTTTCCTGGTCTGTTTGAGCCATGTCCTGTACGACAAACACAGAATGCGGCACTTGAACAGGAAGCGTCCCGGTCAAATGAAGAAGTGCTCGAGGTGATTTCACAATCGTACGAAGAACAGGGGAGTGAAGGGGAAGAGGGACGAGGGGAAGTTGTAGCGGTCCCAGCCCCGGCACCAACAAATTTTCGTTTCGCCCAAGTGGTGAAGGTAGAACAAGGAGATGATTCAGGTATGTGATGTGTCATAGAAGTTGAGTTCATACCGGCTCATGAAAGTCATTGATCCCACAGATGAGACATTAACGCCTGAGAGACCCACGGCTTCACTATTCCCCTTGTACTTGCCCTATCATGCCCAGCATCGGATCCTGACCAATGTGCAGCAAGTTTTAGAGGAGTGCATATTCGAATTTATGAGAAAGTGGCTCCCTGAAAATCTTGAAAGAAACGGATGGGACTGCGCTGCAGCTGTTGAATTGACCAAGTGGACAAGGCCTCCCTTCAAATGGACGTCCCAAATTCCAGAAAGTGCTTTCCACCCAACAGACCTCAAGCTTGAGTCGATCTTGTTAAAAGTAGTGCAAATACGTCACACCGCTGTACATCGACTTCCGACAACTGCACGCGGAGTTTGTGATTTTGTTGGAATTGCCAAGAAGCTGGCTGAGACTCTTGGAGACTCGTTGCGCACTTCACAGCTCGAGAATCTCCATCACGATCTGCAGGAGAAGATCCAAATCCTCGAGTTCAACAAGAATGTTCTGGAGGAAAATTTAGCTTGTCAACTCAGAAACATTGAAGCAGAGCGTGAACTGCTGAATTGCCGGGAGGAGAGGCTGAGAGCCAAGACTGTCGAAGATGATAGGGAAAATAAGCTCATGATGGGTCTTTTGCTAGAAGAGTCGCTGGAACAGATATTCAAGACTGAGGGGGCCCAGCCGGAGACTGAACAAGGCTGGTTGCGTCTGGATAAAAAATGTGCATCCTTTGGTCAGTTCGTCTGTGGCTGGGTTCGAGACAGACTGGCTAAAGATGCTTCAGTCTTTCGTCTCGCGATCATTGGGATCTCTTGTTTTATTTTAGTGTTCTTGTGGGTGTTTGTGCGGCGCTTCATGTATGTAACTGGGATGTTGTAGGATAGGTTGAGCGTTGAACGGGTTTAGCATTTAAGAGCGCTGCTGTATTTTATTGTCTCAGCCAGTGAGCCAGTGGAAATATCCTGGTGATATCCCAGCTAGCATAACTCCCCAAAGAAGAACAGTCCTGTTTTATTATACCTTCTTGGTCAAGGATACTGCAAGCAGGTGTCGAAAAATATTTTGAATTTATTATTGGACCCTCTCGTGTGGAGTACTAAGATGAATTCAAATCAGGCGAGGGGGTTAACGAAGACGCTGGCTAAACGAAGTATTTTGGGATAACATGAATGACTCGGTTCACGGGGTAGAACCCCTTCTACTCCGTATGGTGATCCACATGGTGATCGCCCGTCCCACCACAGTCAACTACTAATCTCCCGAGGTGTGGCTTAGACACAGCCAGTATTTTGTTCGAAGAACCGCGGCGCGACGCGACACCACGCTGGGGTGGTGTGGCCCTAAAGCAGTTCGTTCTATTTAGTGGAACAAATAGGAGGCAACTACTGCTATGAGACCCACTGGTATTGGATCATGGATTCTATTGGAGAAGCTGTGGTGTTAACATTCACATAGCTCCTTAGAGCGACTCAGAGGTAGCCTTCCTTATGCAGATAAAACCAGGTTGGAGTGTGCCTAGCCAGCCATTACTGAAAGACTATGACCTGTTGGCTGTAGTGCAAGCCCTGATTTACCAACAGGGCGACGTGGTGAGGGATATTGTAGCATAAGTCACTGTCTGGCGAGGCACACAAGGCTGGGGCTAACTGACCCCAACGCTAGCATCCTGTCGGCTAGCAATTGAGCCTAGTGAAACAGCCAAAGAGGCTAGTGCTGTGCCGCTCATCCATGGGTGTCCGAAGGCGCCGCTCTCAGACGGGCTGAGATAGCGTTATTCTAAGCGCCCTTCTCCTCGAGTGGCCGGATAACGCGGGTGCGAGCCATAAAGTGCCGCCTGTGATCCCTCCTCTGTGCGTTTCTAATTCGAAGCTTCTCTCATTGCCACACTATCTGCAGTCTGCTTCCAGTCTCAGTGCTTCCACATGTCTGATCCAGTCGCGGGACGGGAAAGGGCCCGCAAGTTGGTCGAGGGGATCTCCAAGGGACATGGATATCTCGGGGAAGATATTCTCAGCCAGATGTCGGATGAGGTCCGTCGTCAAGTTGAAGAAGCGATGCTAAGGAAAGATGAAATGATAGGGTCTTCTGTGGTGACGTTAGCTGACACAAAACCACCTATGTTCTCTAACCGGCCATTGCTGATACATCCACCAGACTGTCCAAGAACCTCTACAATAGCAGCGCGCGCTTCGTTTTCGAGTTGGTACAAAATGCCGATGATAATCACTACACGACAGCCAGGAGGCGCGCGACTGTTCCCTCGCTGGCCTTTCACGTCTACCCGCGTCGTATTGTCGTAGATTGCAACGAGGATGGCTTTACACATGAGAACCTTGTGGCAATCTGCAATGTCGGGAAGAGCTCCAAGACAGGTGCACAAGGTTACATAGGCGAGAAGGGCATTGGCTTCAAGTCAGTCTTCATGGTCGCCTGGAAGGTACACATCCAGTCTGGCGACTTTTCTTTCTCTTTCCGCCACAAGCCAGGCGGCTCGGGCATGGGGATGATCTCGCCCATCTGGGAGGATGTTGAGGAACAGCTGCAGAGGCCGCTGACCCGTATGACTCTCTATCTACATGAGGATACAGCTCCGCGTGAAACCGCTATGCAACAATTCCGCGAGCTACAGGACACCCTGCTATTGTTTACAAAGAACCTGCAGCGGCTAGAGGTGTCAATGTACGATGACGAGGAAAAGCAATTATCATCAACGGTGTTTGCAATTAGCAGCCAGAATGAGAATGTCAAGGTGCTGACCAAGACACTGCTCGCTCGAGATGGAACGTCGGAGGAACTCACGCGCAACTACCACTTGACGAAATACATCGCACATGACCTTCCTGGGAGTGAGAATCGAACCTATACTGATAAGGAACAGAAGACCCGGGCATATAGTAGAGCCGATATCATACTTGCATTTCCTGTGACCAAAGATTCTGTACCAGTCATTGAACCACAAGATGTTTTTGCCTTCCTTCCCATCCGCAGTATGGGTTATACCGTGGGTTTTCCATCGTGCAAGGCTCTTCAAGTATGTGTGGACTGACTTTTGCTGGCAGTTTTTGATCCACTCGGACTTCGTGACAGATGCAAGTAGACAGGATATTGTCCGCTCTTCAGCACGAAATCGTAAGCTACGGACTGAAATTGCTAGCGCTTTCAATGCAGCGGTATTAGAGATGTGCAAGCACCCTTCACTACGATATACATGGATGCGCTACCTTCCTCAACGCGACGGACATCAATGGGATCCGTTCTGGATAGAGCTGTTGGATGAGATAAAGTCACGGTTGACAACGAGTCCGATTTTACAGAGCCGTACGAGTGGATTTTGGTTTCCCATCAAGCAGATGCGGCGTCTACAGAACTTTGTGCATGATAAGTCTGGAGATCCTCTATTCCCAGATTTGCAACGGGAGCAATATCTTTCTGCCCATTATTCTAAGAAAGACATTGCACGACTCGAGGAGTATGGCCTAATTTTCCTAACGTTGGTTGAAGTTATTGATCGGGCTTGGATGGACCTTCGAATGCCCGATTCCAAAATGAAAAATACGGACACCAGCGAAGACTGGCACTCTCGCGCTGCCACAATTCTCAGCCGGTCCTTTCGCCAGGGCTTCAATCGCGGTATGGAGGAAGTCAAAGCTATGCCCTTGATTCCTCTGACAACCGGCAAATGGGTGTCTATCAAGAACGGGCCTGTGTACTTTTCATCCATCCATGGGATCAAGATCCCCAGCGGCCTTGGGATTGGTCTTGTAACTCCAGGAGCAATGAGCAACCTAGAGCGTAAACAGCTGTTCGAAGATCTAGGGGTTCAGGAGGCATCTGTCGACTTCGTTCGGGAGCTGATCAAGCAGAAGTATTCGGTATATGGAATATTTCCTGTTCCAGTGTCGAGGGAGCATCTGGTATTCTTGTACCTCACAGAATCCCTCGCCTTTCCTAGCTCAAAGATTCTCCTCAAGAGTTTGTTTGACGGTAAGGGCCTGGCGTTTTCAGATCATAAGTCCCGGATAAGACACCCAAAGGTCGATCCTGTATATTTCCCCAATCAAGATCCCTATGGTACAAAGGCACTTCTTGAACCCATTCAAGGCGGAGCTCCAGGGTTAGACGTCTCGTTCTTGAATGAGCAATATATACGTGATCCCCCACAGTGTCCTCCAAATATGCAGCGAACATGGATCGAGTGGTTACAGCGGGTATTTCATGTCCGAGAAACCCTTTCAATCATTGAACCAAGGAAATCTTTGTCCAAAGCGAGACTAGGGCAAGAATTTCTTTATGTCGCACAGCACCGACCGGAGAAATTCATGGGACTGCTTTCGAACTGTTGGAAGCTCGACGGGCCTAGGGTCATTCAGCAACCAGAACTGGTGGATGAGATTCGCAATACCATGGTACTCTGCGAGAATGGCGGGAGATATCCATTGTACGACACCTACATTCCCGACCCGGAGCGGAGGGCGACGGTTTCAAGATTCATGAGGGACGAGGAATTCCCGTGGTTGCAATTGGATCAACCTATAGGTGAAGACAGCCTCACACAGCAATGGACTGCGTTAACGAAGGCTCTTGACTTTGGCCATCCCAAATCTCAAGTTCACTTTTATCTCCACATACTGAAATTTCTAGATGAGGCTCTGTGGGAAGGAGCCTCTGACGCTAGTAGGATGTTTGACCTTTATGTCATATTGCAGATGGAATGTCGCGCCAATCCTTCTGCTACAGATACCGTTTGGTATGCTTTGGTCATCTGGATGAATATTAATATTCACTGATGAAATTTAGGGATACTGTGTATGAACGGTTTGGCGGGATATGGATTCCGCCAAAAGCCTATGCATATGTCGAAAATTGTCTTTGGGAGGCACCTCGCCATATGAAGAGCAAGTATCCCCTTAAGTCACTGTTTACAGAGTACTGTCGGCAGAATCAGGCAGATGCTGTGTATCTCAGAGACTTCTTTCAAAAAACCCTGAAAATTCCCGATGTCAGAGCGGATGATCTCTTGGTCGAGTTGACGAAGCTGCAGTCTGACAAGTGTGACGACTTCGACCAAATCAGCTCAATATATATAAATTTGCACCGGATGTTCAATCAGATGCCTTCAGGAACGGTGATCTCTTACCGGTAAGTCATATACTTCATGATGAAGTCTTTAGCTTATTGTATCAGCAAACGGTTTGTCGAAGATCCTCTCATCTATGTGGCCCCCAATTGGTATACCACTCCAGAGTGCCTTTGGTCAACAGCTACTTCAATTCCAGGTCGTACTGCACTCAATGACCATTACCAGGACTTGAAAGAATTCTTTGTCGATCTCCTGGGTGTTCAGACCCTCACCTTGGAGATGGTCGTAGAAAAGCTTCGAGACCAGGGTCGGACGGGCTCTTCTTCCGTGGACGAGGTCAAAAGCACAATTTGGACCCTGAATTCTCTACTTCAGAGTGAACAGGCGAGCATTGTACCTCCTGATCAGGTTCTGGACAGCGCTGTATTTCCCGTTCGGTTCCCTCAGGGTGGCGTCCAGCTTCAGACTTCTGCGAGTACGTTTGCAATTGCGGATCGCAAGCACCTCTTAAGTCACTTTAGTCCTAAAGCCAAACTGCTGGACTTTGAGGTGGATGAAGTCCCACGCCTTGAGCCATTTCTACAGTGGACTGGGTTGAAAGACCGTTATTTATCGTCCTGTATAAAAGAGATTACAATGGTGGGAGGAGATGATGCTCGACCTTTATCTAACCCTGGCCGTGACATTTGTCGAAAGGCACATGGACTCCTTCGGTGGGTTACGTACTTCAAAAAATACAGTTTCCCTGTCCAAACTAACCATGAAACTCCTATAGCGTTGCGGTTCATCTTAAGAGTCCCCGAGCAGTTCAGGATGAAGACACCTTCTATGAAATCCTCAAATCAATCAGCATGAAAGAAACTAACGGGATCTCATCTGAGCTTCACCTCAACCAGGACGGCAAGGACCTCAAGGTAGAGGTTTCAAGGAGTGAACTGCACCTCGATGAACGAGACAAGCAACTCACTGTGTACATTCCGGAAGACAAACGCAGTCAAGATATTTGTTTTCTGGACCGCATTCCACTGGCACTGCTGCAATGGATGATGACCGATCCATTAACGCGGATCACCCACGAGTTCAGTGACAGCTTTGTCACTATAATACAAACCCTTCTGCAAGCGGAGAAGAATTATGTCTCAGAACTTATGGACCGCGCTGGTATTATGTCCATCGCGAGGGCAGACGACACAGTTGTTACGGAAGAGAGTGAAAGTCAGCAATCGCAAGAGAATGAAAATCAGGAATCGCACAGCGACCGATCGTCACCTGCCGGTCGTAGTAACTCACTCGTTGAACAGCCTACCCCTGAGCGAGATGAGCCGACATATACGCCACCTCGACCGAGACAGGGCTCTTGGGCGTCAGAAACTACCGTTGTCTCTTCCTCGATGCGGGCCCTTCCTGTAGCTCGCCCATCTCCAGTCCTCTTGCAGGATTATACACAAACGACAGACGACCCCGAATACCACCAATTGCTATCTTCTGTGCTTGCGTCTGCCAGGAATGCCATATTCCCCAGCCAAGGCACCTTCGACATGGCGGGTTTGGATGACTCAATCACATCAGGTGCAGCCGCTCAGACCATCCGGCTGCGAACCTCCGACCAGCTTGAGCGTGACTTCAAGATCGGCGCAGCGGGTGAACTATTCGTAAGTCCTCTTACCTCAATCATTATCAAAATGAGAGGTATACTGATCGTAGTAGGTATTCAAACTCCTCTCACGACTAGACCCACCCCTCCCTGCCTTCACCCGCGACAACTGGCAGAGTGTAATCCGAAAGTTCGTTACAATTCTTCCCGAGTACTCGGACATGACAGCATGGCATGGCCGCGAGACAGCAGACATCACCTACGACGACCACGACGGAGTCCTCACCTCCCTTTTTATAGACAAGGGATATCTACGTGACGATGTCTGGAGGGGAAAGAAACCCCGGTTCTACATGGAAGTCAAGTCCTCTACTGCGGACAACCGAACGCCCTTCTTCATGAGCAAGTACCAGTACCGACGGGTGAGACTAAATATACTATATTCGTTCCAGGTGTACGTGATTACTAACCTATAGCAGATGCAAGAAATGTCCAACGGCGAGACCCAGTCTGATAACATGGACACGGTATACGTAATCTTTCGGGTATATAATCTAGGGCAGCGGGGTATGAGGGTGAAAGTATATGTGGATCCGGAAATGATGCGCGTGAGGGAGGAGTTGCTGTTTACTGCTGAGGGGTGGTCGGTTGTTCCGGCTTGACGAGATGTTTCGCAAATGGCCATTGGATTCCGATGATCTTTAGAGGAAGTACCGGGGAGTAAATAGCCTTCCTGTTGGAGGGGTGGCTGGATGAGTAGACAAGTTCGATCGTGGCGTGAACATTCAGGTCCAGTGTTGCATTTCATTTAGGACCTGAAGTAGAGCTTACATGCTTCGTATCGAGGTGCGTTTCATTCTGCTTGTGCTATATTTCTGTCTTCTAAGTATTAGTTTCCTTCTGCATAATACTATGGGTTTGATCTTCCTCCTTCAGCAGTATCTGATTGATTATTAGTCAGTACTTGCCACTCTGATATACCTGTACAGAGGTTCAATATTTTATATATATCATTCTTCCAAACATGCAGTATCCGTTCTGATCCTGTCTGCGTAATTGTTATCATCCTATCCCATGATATCTTGGTATAGGAACTAATATCATGGTCAGTATCAGAAAGACCTTTATAGAGTCACAGTCTCTGCAATCATCAATACGGGAGCTCACAAGCTAGCTCAATTCCCGGAGTCAAATACGCTGTTTCTATTTGTGATCTTGTCTAATTTTAATCTCCAACCACACTTGTTGAATTGGATAATATATAACGGGATTACGCGTACATCAAAAAAAAGAATAGTTTTCAAGAAGAGGAAGCGAATGACCCGTAGGTTTTTGTACCTGAAATGTAGAACACAGAAATGATAAAGAGTGGCGGAGAGTGCTTCGAAATCAATAAATTCCATTTGCCTGCAAAAATGAAATCATTTGCTGGAAGCTGGAGCTTGCACTCTTATGGGCAGCAATGCAGTGACCGGAACCTTCGGCCAGATAATATTGACTGCCCGAGGAAGCATTAGGGTAGTAGGTGGAGGTGTACAAAGAGGCCTGATTTTCCGGATAGGAGCAGTTGCCGCCACAGAAGACAAGGTCATTCTCCCCTAGGATAATGTCCACAGGCCCGGTAAAATCAGGGGCCTCGGCGACGAGGCCACCCAGAGTCAGCAAGACTCCGAGAGTGTTGGTCTGTTTACCGGCAACCTGAAGTTCGAATGCCGTGGAGTCGTAGTTAGGATAGCGATAAAAGGCGAATTGAATCCCTGTCGAGGTCTCTTGAGTCAGATAGCCAGCAGGCAACGAAGAAAAGCGGCCTGAGGAATCGGAATTTGCGTTGATAAAGTTGAAAGCTGCCATAGTGAGCGAGACGTAGTTCTGATTGGTGCTCGTTCCAGAGAGGATTATAGCGTCAAAGTCCTTTGGGTACTGTGTTGTGATAGCCTGGGTCAAGGTACTGCCGGCGCTGTGGCCGACGCCCACCACGTTCTGGAAAGAGTAATTTCCAATTTTTGAGGAACGCAGCAGCTGCGTTAAGGCATGCGTTACTGCTACCTGGCTGTTGGCTTGCACTTCCTGAATCGGATCGGGATGATGGGAATTGCCCACTCCGAGTTGGTCGTAGGAGAGTGTGGCGTAACCTGCGGCTGTGGCAACATCCACATAGCTATAATTAGGACTGATATCCCAGTAGGTATGATCCAGTGTCGCTCCGTGGGTTAGGACTTGGACAGTCTTTACCTTGGCGGCTTTGGCCGCCGATGAAGGTAAACAAAACTTCACATATATATCCCAATTACCCTGAATAAGCTGAGTGCCGTCGGGTGCGGTCACGGGAAGGCTGTTGGTGGTCTGGAAAAGCTCGGCCATCGACTCAGTTACTGCGTTCGGCGAGGAAGGAGCGACATAATCGAGCTTGGTGCCATTGACGGAGATGGGAATATTGATGTAACCCGAGGCGCAAATTGAATTCCCTCCAGATGATTTACCGATGGTAGCGTCGGTCAGCCCCTGAGTTGAGATGGACCAAGCTGCGCTAGGGCTTAAGACAGCCCACCACGGGTTGATGCCGTAGGGGAGCTTCATGATTCAGCAATAAGGAAAAGATGCGCAAAAGGCGAGCGAAGAGAATGGCTGACAGAACTTGTATATGACACGAGTTGGGGATAAAGGGACAGAAAGTGGAGGTGGAGCTTTTTATGTGTTTCATAGATCCCGGCTAGTACGGGGCAAGTGCTGTAACCGATGATCTGACTGTCCAGAGAATGTCATGCAGCCAGTCACAAGCTGTACTGCCATGTACAGCCAAGTACCTTCTCCGTACTAATAGTTGTAAATATCCGCATGAAGCTAATTTAGCTCCGCCGCTGTGTTCGCTCAGGTCTTACTATTCCACTTCACCGTTCAGACTACCCAATCTTTTCTTGTGTCATCCTATAAATAATCCTAGTCATAACCCCCCTGCACCCGCAGTGAAGCAACCCTTGGAGTATCTTCAAGGTAGTCGGAAGGTATCCCCAAAAACATTCCAAAATGGATTCCACGAAATATGTTTTCGGCCGCAATTATCGCGCCAGTGTCAGGTGGGTGCCATGAATCTTCGTTTAATTGCCACACCAATCGCATTTGCTAACTTCCCGAGGAGATTAAATTACCAACACGCTCTCATCGCGAGCCTGACCGACCATCAATCCTTTCATCCTTCCATCCGCCAGCATATCACCAGCTCCACTTCATTTCGCGTGGCGGATCTGGCTAGTGGCACCGCGTATGGGTTCTTCCTGGCGTGTTCCATAGTTCTTCTCTTGGTTGACCGGTGCTATTAGACTTTGGTCATCCGAAGTAGCTCGTGAATATCCACAATTCCAAGTCGATGGCTTCGATATCTCCTCCGACCAATACCCGTCCCCCTCCTGGAGACCCGAGAACCTAATTCTTCACGAACGGGACATATTACAACCTTTCCCGGAAGAATATCATGGAGCGTACGATATAGTCAATGTGCGGTTCTTCATCACTCTTCTCAATGAGAAAAACCTATCCCTTTTTCTGACCAACATTAACGCCATATTGAGTATGAAGATCTACCCCACCAATTTCCTCCCCTCCTTACCCACCTCCTAGTGAGAGCCGATGCTAATAGCAATGATCATCTATTCAGAACCAGGAGGATTTCTGCAATGGCTCGACTTAGACCCTCGTAGCGCAAACGCCGTCGCATATCTGGAGGGACAAAAAAGCAACATCACCACAACAGGTCCCCATACCCATGATCCTGCCAAACCTAATTGCCAAACTAACACACACTTACATAGCCACAGACCACCCATACCCACAAACCAGGGCAGTTGCGAATCTGATGCGCAAGACCCCTCCAGACGTCGAAAGCTGGCTCACCGACAATCCTCACGAGATCCTCCAGCCATTCAAATTTGAGCAAGTTGCCTGCGACAGACTCTCCCTGCCGGACATCTACCGCCCACTCTGGAATCAGTGTCTTCTACTTGGCTTGGAAGAGTACTGCAGCAAAGTTGAGGAGGAAGCTGGCATGGATGCTAGTGCGTCTCATGCAATGCGTGATACACTTAACGGACTAAGCCGGGAATTCGGCGCTGGAACTAGTATTGATGTCCACTGGTTCTATCAGATCTCTAGGAAAATTGAATCTTGAGCTGTGTATTTTCATCTCCTTTTACCTCCTTGGGGATTAATGCCATGCCAGATCTATATCATATATACTTGCCAGAAGAGTAAAAAAGATAAAGAGAATAAGTAACGAGGGATATCCTGCTTCAGCAAAAATGAGAAATGATATTCGCTGTGGACGGTCATCTTCCGACGTCGAACGAGACGGTATCATTTGTACATACATAGGGACATTTACGTACGCCAATACATGCATATATACGGATGCTTGAGCTTATAGAGGAAGGGACAAACAGAAGTTTAAGTTGCTTTGGTCTTTCTTGTTGCAAACCGGATTGGCACGTCCTGGGTGATTCGCAGACTCATGTTGAACTTGACTCCTTCCGAAAGCGCGCGGTCAGCCCGGATACGGGCCGCTGCCCAGGTGTCACTTGGGTCTTCTGGATCGGTGAGAAGGGACACTGAGCTTTGGTGGAAAAGCAAGGCGACTACGGCGCAGAGTTCAACAAGGGCGAATTTGTGACCGAGACATTTGCGGGAGCCTTCAGAGAAGGGGACGAAAGTGCCGGGGGCCGGGGTAAAACCTGTCGAGCTACGCGAACGATCTTCTTTGTCGGGTGCTGACCCCGACGGTTGTGTTTCAAGCCAGCGGTATGGGTTGAAGTCTGTTGTAGGATAAGGCCGAAGGGTAGGATCTTCTTGGTTGAACGATTTCTCGGATTTGTCGTTCACGGTGGGCCAATAGTGAGGATGGCGGTGGGTGGCGCTGGTATTCACGAAAGCTACGGTTCCCGGTGGCAATGGGTGAGATTGGCCGGAGACAACAATAGGAATGGCCGGTCCGGAGGGTGGCACATATTTTGGAAGGACTGGGAGGACAGTGAAGAGTCGAAGAGCCTCCTTGATGACTGCTCCAACTAAGCTGCGCATGAGCGGTTCATAATGAGTGTCGTAGGTCCAGTGACTCGGCGGGGTATTCTCTATGATCTTGTCGAGGTCTGACTGCACTGCAGTTTGGATGGTAGGATGACAGGCAAGAAGAAGGATTACGAAGGTCAGAGTGTTGGCGTTGGCTTCATGGCCGGCGAACATGAAGAGAAACACATTGCCCATCACTTGGTGGGGCTGCAGGATAGGGCTGGTGGAGGATTCGGTGCTGATACCAGCCTGGACAATCAGGTCGCCCAATGACGCTGTGCCCTTCTGGTTTAAAAGATATTCTTTGTCCTGTAGCCGTGACTCTGTCGTCGTCCTTAACCCATGCATATATTGGCCCAGGTCGTCATAAGCTCGGATTGCTTGACGATGGGACTTCAAGGGAGACCATGCTGATACGGCTTTGATTAGCAACGCCATGACTACGGTGATCCACATGATTGTTAATCTTACTGAGAAAATGTCTAGGAAAGAGGAAGACGGTTTGATAATGATCCAACAGCGTGTGCATAGCCTCGCTGTAAGTCATGCGATATCCTTTTGCGGGGAGATCGGCGAACGACAGTGCTTCGATCAGGTCTTCTTGGGTCTGAGATTGAAAACAGATGCGGGTAAGTATATTCAATGATAGTCGGGCAGCCAGCGTGCGTAATTGGCGATACGCTGCTGGTTTATTCAAGGCAAGCCCAAGTACTTGTGCTCCTTCAATAGCGTGCGTAAACACCTGGCGTAGGGTATCCTCTCGAAAGAAAGGCGCAGTGATCCGTCGGTATAATCGCGATTCTGGCCCATCAGTACCGGTTATCGTCGGTCCGTATATGTTCAGCACCTGCATAAGATGGGCCGGTTTTCCAAATCTACCATCTTGGAACAGCTGTGTGGAGACGTGACGGTCGCAGGTATAGAGCACGAAGCCCCCCGGCGAGACTGCCAAGAAAGTATCGGCTCCGACCTGTTCGAAGGGTGTGTATCCAAGATGCCACCCATCATTGAAGATCAACAGCGGGAGCCACTTAGAAGTCCAAGTCTGGGGAAGAGCCTTCAGCAGTGGTAGCACGACTGGTTGGCTCAGCAGCCATGGGGCCCCCAGCAAGGAGCAGGGTAAAATCACATACGGAAGGCCTGTTGACCGCGCCTCTCGGACATTGAGAATCAGGCAGACTAGCGACCAGCTTGTGAACCCAGCGAGGAGAGTCGCGGATCCCAGAAAAAGCCGCCAGAAGAACACATCCATGACGGCGGGGGGCGGGAGAAGAGGAGAAAGGGCAGAAGGGGAGGGGGCCGGGAGGCTCAATTGATCGGCAAAAACGAGTGAAATTGAGGAGTGACAGCCTGATGATGCTCTAGCATTTAGCCAGGAAAGATGGAGCAGAATTAGCAATTACAGGGACTTTATTAGGTTCAGCCATGCAGGTGGGGGCCGTTTTGTCACTTTTTTTCGAGGGTCCAGGTGCGCTGTTCCTTCGTTCGGTTGGTGGACCTTCCCAACTAGCCCGAATTGGGACAGTCAAAGACGTCGCTGCATATTGGCTACATAAGCTCATGCAAGCACGGGTGGTTTGTCCATTCTAACCTAGAGCAAGTCGTGAAGAAATACGGTCTGTGAGAATATAGTACGTTGGAGATTGAGCGTGCAGGCCAATAGAGAGGAGATTGGTAAGCAACCAGTAATCTAGGATACCGACTAGTAGGCGTGCGCCAAGTCACGTAAACCTTATTAGTTGGTTTGTTTGTAAGGAAAGATGCAAATTGGTGGTCAGAAATAGAGTCACCAGCTGAAAGATTCTGTTTGCGTATTGATAATACGATAACAGCAAGAGGTGTGAATGATACGCTATCTCAGGGTATATTTCTGCAGCCTCGCTCTCTACGGCGGGTGGAAATTCCGTGCCTCCCTCATAGCCAACCATCTTGTCAGTCATATGTTCTTATGGTATTCCTCAACCTGCCTCGTCTCAGCCCCCATGTGCTCTCGTATTGATGAGCGCTTACTCTCCTGAATTGGAAGATTTGAGATCCTGGAGTATGCAAGCATAAGAACTAACATCTTCAAGTCAGCAGGGGCCAGCCCCCACAGTTATTCATCAATTTTTGACACTTAGACTGCCACTCTCTGATATGTAGTGATAATAGTCTTGGTGTTTACAGGACGAGGTCGTTTCGATCATCGTCCGTGGTACTTGCAGGGCCCCATTAGCACCAATACAACGCATATAAGTCCCGGCCTGCAGCACACACCCCTACATAAGCGGAGAATAGGACTTATCCCCTGAACGTGCCTGTCTGGCTTTCTATTCTCACTGTAAACTCATCGATATGAGTTCTTCCGAGGTAAAAAGCCCATCATTGGTTACCACTAGCCTCTTAACAGTCTCCATTATCTTTCCCATCCTTGGCACCATCGCTGTCTGTCTCCGCATTTATGCTTCTTTTCTCAAATCCAGGCGACTCTTTTTGGATGATTATATTATCATACTGGCCCAGCTTTGTGCGTGGGGAATATCTATCGATACCTTTACAGCAGCATCGATCGGAGGTGTAAACTATACCAAAGGGGATGTTATCTCGGCCACGATTGCTTTTCTCCGAGTAAGCTTTGTCTTTGCTCCCCCTTTGCAAGATATATCACTCAACTGTGACACTAGGCCCTATGGATTGAAGGATTCCCTCTTGTGGGCAGTTTGGCACTGGTGAAGATATCTATTCTGTTATTCTACGCCAGAATCTTTGTCACCCGCCCATTCCGCATCGCAACATATACATTTGTCGCTGTCCTAGCATGTTGGGGTGTAGCGATAGCCATTGTAAGCAAATCATTGTCGCTGTCTTCCCGCTCGAGTAACAATCAAACTGACATAGAATGTAGGCACAGCTACTCTGTGCGAGCCCGATCAACGCAGCCTGGGATCCTTACGCCGTAAACCCTCTGCGCTACAACTATAACGCCTTTTCCGAAGCGTTCGCAGGCATGAGTATGGTTTTTGATATACTCGTACTGTGCTTTCCGATTCCAGCGGTCTATCGTTTACAAATGTCCACCCGCCAAAAGCTCCAAGTCATGGGCATTTTTTGGCTGGGCTTGTTGTAAGTACCATTCTTGATCCCCGAGCCTTTGTCGATCTTCAGAAGATTTTGTCGACTGACTTTGTCTTGCTCTACTTCAAATCTAGTTGCTGTATCTCCTCTGCTATCCGCTTCTACTATATCTATAGTGACATTCACCAATCTGTCGCTTCAAATAATGTGAACCGGTATGCAGTCGTCACCACCGCCTTTACCTGGGGTACCATCGAGCCCAATGCCAGTATTATCTCTGCTTGTCTGCCGCTGTATGGCAACCTGTTTGGGGGTGACAAGAAGCTGGGCTTCTATATCCGGAGTTGGTTTAGCCGTCTTACCTCGGGAAGCGGCAGCACTGGGGATCAAAGTCGAGGATCAAAAGCTAAGGCGTATAATTCAGTGGATACAAGTGGCAGTTCTTCTCATCACCGACGCGAGTGGCAGAAGCTGGATATCCGGACACATCATACGTCGGATATTGAGCTTGGGCACACAGTGACGGATGATCAGGTACCCTTGGCAAGGGAGCCACAGATGCAAATAATGATTAGTAGGAGCTTCATACAGGAAACAGCATAATTCCCATTGAGACCAAAATAAGACCTGGAGAGGCGGCGGATGGGTGATGAAAAAGAGTCTTTTCCCTTTTGTCTCTCTACCTCTGCGATGTTCCATGAAGGCCTTTATTATAATAGATCATCATAATCATTCTGTACAAAGCACCACTCTACCTATATATATTACCTGCAGACACAGGAATTTTCTAGATATTAGTAACCACCGCTTGACTGACCAGTTTGCTCTTCCCACATTTCCTGCCCTGTCAGCCGGCAAATTCAATCTCCTGACTCTAAACTCAACAGAAGATCTGATAAAGAGCCCCATTACGACCTCACAGAAGCAGGCCATGAGATACATTGTTCGTAAATATTTATATTTCATAGCCGAAACCAAAAATAACAGTTCCAGGCAGTCTTACGCTTCGAAACATGAATTTACCCGAGCAGCATACTGCCAGGTAGAATGGCCAAGCCACAATATAAGACGGGCGGGAAGTGTGGGAATGGCAACCCTCAGTGTGTAGGCTAGCCTGGCCGGTGTGTCTATAGCAGCGCCCGACTAATTACCTCCGACTTTTAAAAAATCACACAGAGGAATAAACTGTAATACTACTACTGCCTGACCTAATTGTCTCTGCACTACATACATACTAAAACAAGCCATTGAGGGGGTTTTGAGCCATCTGCTATAGTCCGTCTTTTGCCGCCGATAAGCAACCCATTTGGTCAAAGTGCGGGGTAGTAGTCTGATTAGCATACCTGGAGCTGTTCCCCAAAACCCACAATAAACCACACCCCCCACAGCTCAGTTAACAGCAGGAAACACATATTACTCAGTCAACCAATCATTGACTCCTCTCCTAATATATCCTATATGAGGTATGGCTCTACCTGGACTGTTGAAGACTCTAGTACTACTATTATACTTGTACAGCATACTATCGACACGCATCATCACTGATTACTAGTATTTTACTACACTGTACGGTTGAAAGTCTCGGGACACTCAAAACACTCCTGAATTTCCAACAACAATAAGTTTGTTGATAAATAAGGTATAGATGTTTAACTTTAAACAGAAATAGATTATATCTTTCTATCAGTGTAATAAAAGTAGAAATAAATTAAACATCTAAGAAGTAGTAAGTTTTCTTCTTTTTACTAAAGGTTTTGGTTGGATCTCCACACAAAATATATATACTTTTGTGATTCTATCCGATCCTAATTCCATGTAATTTTACCCCAACAAACTTTATTAAACGTTTGTTAGTCGGGTTATCGATGTTTAAATAATAAATTTTTATATTAATACTATTCAAAATTACTACAACTTATGAAATTTGTTGATATAATCATGTTTAAAATAGGTGAGTTTTGGTGCGGTTCAGCGGGTGTCCCGAGACTTTTGGACACTTAAGGGTGATGGAAGAAAAGAGGCGTGCATCCAAACATGAAGTGCACAAATTCAGATTCAATCAAGCGACCATCTGGGAGGTTAGAGAAATGGTAGCAGATGATAGAACCAGGTTATTATATGATCTTGGACAACTAGCATTTACAATGTCTGCCATGGGATTGCGGTAGATGGCACCGACGTACATCCTACATGTGTACCTACTTCCTTGAGGCAAAGACAGATGCCTATCTTTCAAACACACGAGCCGAATCAAGAGCTCTTCACCTCTTTATCCATCAACACTCCCATCACCTTTTTGACCGACTCCCGAGCCAGCATGGCTTCCTGCCACCGTTTGAAATGAGGAAACTCCTCAGGACGCCACGCCTGATCGCCTTCACGGCTACCCATGAAAAACGCAATCTGTGTATTCCACATGACAAACGCCAGGTCTGCGTACGTGCACTTGTCGCCCACGAGCCAATCGCGCTCCTTCAGAACGGAGTCCAACACGCCCGCTACACGCTTGACCTCGGCACCGTAGCGCACCTTGGCGCTTTCGGGGGATTCACCATAGATTTTCTCGTGGAAGATATTAAACCTATCAATAAAGACATGAAATTGTGTTAGAGCTGTTTACGAGAATTGGTGGGTGGACATCGCGGGGAACCCTTTAACTCACCATGCGGATTGTCCAAAGTAGGGACCCTGTCCTGAGGCCTGGAAGTAAGACCACTGGATCAATTGGTATTGTTCTGGGAATGTGGCGTAGGAAATCTTGCGGTCTTTGTCGTAGGTATCGATGAGGTATTGGACGATGGCACCGGATTCCCAGAGGGTAAGACCGGTGTTGGGGTCAATGATAGCTATCGATATTCATTAGGACCCGCGATAATATTAATGGTGGCGTGTTGGGAAGGAATGGGAGCTACATACCGGGCACTCGGCCGTTAGGGTTCACATCGGTGAAGGGCTTGGTTTTCAAACCGTCGAGTTCGACCCAAGAGGACTCGTAAGGAAGATTAAGCTCCTCGAGAATGATGAGGACTTTGGAGGGGTTGGGTACTTGGTCTAGATTTTGTTTTCCCGCTTTTTAGCATTGCTTTCCTTGGACGTAGTGTGCATTTCACTCTCAAAGGTAAATTAAGGAGACGGAAACATACTTCTCCAGAAAAGCTTGATGGGCTGCAAGGACGTCATGTTGGGACTGGTGCTTCTATCGTTTGATTTTTCTTGGGGGTGGGAGGGGCCAAGGGGGCTTGAGATTGCGAGTGAGGATATTAGCACGAGGGATTGCGAGGCCCAATGGCTATAATGTGTCAAAGGCCAGGCCGCACTTGTCGAGGGGGGTAAGGACAGATTTAGACTAATGCATCATAAGCGCTTTAGCTCGAAATAGAGCGGTTGCCTCGCCCCATTTCTTTGTTCTGAAAGCAGAGTAGACGGTAACTTAGGTGATGGGGCTATTGTGTGAATTGTGATATCCCTGAAGGTGTCATCAAGATGAACAAAGGCTATTCCCGGATCGAGGTTGCCCGAGGCGGGCTGTGCTAAGTCCCTGTAGGAATATCCCGTATCTGACGCACAGATGGGCCTGCGGACCGAGACCCTTGGCAGATCCGGACGTACTATACTCAAAAGATATCATTATGGTATGATTGAAGATGCGGAGTAGGAGGGTATCTACTTTCTAGTCTGTCTTACCTAGACTGATCTAGCATAGAGCTGCAACTAGCCCGATCAGGCAGGTGATTAGCATGAACTGGACCCTCGCTAACCTGCGATCACCAAAGAAAATTACTTGTACTGTCATGAAATGTACGGTAATATAAAAACCACAGTCCTCGGTAACGCTTTCTAACGTGGCATTGACGACAGCATGTGTTGATTTCGCTTCTCGGCTAGATCGCTTAATCGACAAAAGGAGGTGAGAATTTAATAACAGTACATGCGCCACTGTGAGGGGTTGAAGAAGTGTATCTCCCGCCTATCACAGCTCAGGACGACTTTGGCGGCTGAATCCGACTGGCAATATCTTGGATCACATACATCTGGCCGAACAAATCTGTCACATCAATGAAGGCCTTGATCATGCCAGAAGTTGCCAAGTCCAGTGTATTTGACAGCTTCTCGAAAGATAGCTCCATACAGGCTCTCTCAAATTCCGCGATCTCCATCAGCGCCTCCCGCTGGCGAGGGTTGTTCAAGTCCCCGGGTTCTGCTTCCTGGGTCGTAAATTCACTGAAATCGAGGCTGTTGAGATTCTGTTCCTCCGCATCTCGCTGTTGTGACCCGTAGTCGTTGTATTGTCGGCACATGGTGGCTAGATGCAATCCCAGGGCTCGCCCAAGGTATCCTTGTTGGGGGGAGACAAGGCAGAACGACGAATCCCGACTGATTAGACAACAAAAGAAGGCAAACGAATAAAGGCAACTGGTATCAGTGGCACCTGTGGTGCGGACCCAATCGAAATACATCTCACGTTGTTGTCCCTGGCGGGCGCCGTCTTTACCACTGCTGCTGCCTCGCATTGCTGCGTTGTCGGCGTTATGGGCCAAGTGGGCCCGGAGGAATTGGCGCAATTCATGCAAAACTAGTTTGCGCGCGTTGACAGGATAGCGGCAGATGCACGGATGGTGTCGGATGTGACGGATATACTTTTGAATTACTGCCTGGACTTCGGGGATGGTACCTTTCAGGGGTGCTGACTCAAGGATAGGGGTACTTTTGTCGGACTTGTTGGAACATTGAAAGCAGCCTTTGCCCGAATCATCCAAATCGATGGGAAGAAGTTCAGGGGAGCATTCTGTTTCGATTAATGCGTTCAAAGAGCTGATCTGATCCTGGTCGAGAAGGGCAACAACCGACTCCATATACTCGTCTACCTGATAGTTGAGTAACGAGATGACCATCATCTCCCAAAGAACAGTCCCCGAGAGAGGGAATCCAGAGACGATATTAACACACGTCCAAGCACACGGGATGTAATCCAGGTATTTGTCTGGGGTGAGGCCCATGTTATCGCGGGGGAAAATGTCCAGACGATGCTCCCTCAGGCGACGGGTGTAAAAAGTAGCCTCAATCACAGCCAGCAATATCTTTTTCTCGGAGGGGTTTCGCAGGACAGGAATATGACTAAAGAAGAGAGACATCGCGTGAAGCTTCTTCTTGGGAAAATCAAATACCTGCAACAGCTCGGAGGTCCATGTGTGTTGTTGATCGAGGGGTATCTTCATAGCCGCCAGAATATATGTCTCGGCCAGAATTGGCAACTTATATGTCACTTTCTCAATCCATATATAGTCACCATCCGTCCAATCATCGGTATGGGAGACCAGGTAGTCCCTTCCTTTGCGAATGGAATCTAACACTAGCTGCCGCACATCTTGCGGCCACGGTAGCTTCAACCCATGGGCGAGGAGAAGGATTCTGTATGCTGTTCTCTCCGCAGATCCCCTCCAGGAACCATTCTCCAACTGATCTCGTACTGCTCGGGAGAGAAGCTGACAGAGAGCAATTGGGACGCGTGATTCCGCCAGCTCTGATGGCAAGGAGGGCAAAATCCCCTGACCTCGGACATGAAGGAGACGGACCAACGCATGGGCGAAAAGCATCTCGCTATACTCTGAGGCCAGGTTCCATTTGTCCCGCAGAATTCCGGAATCCCATTCCCTCAGCATAAATTCCAGTGCTTTTTGGATCTGCACTGAGTAACGTGCGCTGTCAGGTGCAAATAACAGGGCCAACAAGACATTCGCGTTGGCGCTGAAGCTGGAATTGCGCTCAAGCTCGTAGGTCTTGAAGTGGTCGATGGCCTCGAAGCTGTGGATAAGCGGTGCTGGATCCATGTCGATCTCACAAAGCGCCTGTGTGAGAAGAGCCCGCGCAGTGTCATCAGCATCAGGCACAAAGCCCGGTGCAAACCCCAGTGTTCCTTGCTGCTTGATGAGCAGCTGGCTTAGGTATGTCGTAATAGTCTGTATATCTTCTCTAGCAAAGTCTGTGACCTGGAAGCCATTGTCCAGGAGCGTGGAGATAACCCATGAGGTTTCAAAAATCGGGGTTGGGAATCCGCTAGGAACCCCGCCACATGAACCATAGTGTCCCACAATTCGTCGAAGGTACTTTTCTGCAGCATCATCCCAGGTGGAAGAGTAGATCAGGTAAGCGGCAGTGGAGGCTGGAGAACCCAGCATACCCCCGTACTCGGTACAATGGTGAGCGAGCTCGTCGAACTCAACGGCTCCAATCAACCCTTCGAGGGAATGTAACAAGGTCGTCTGACGCTTAGACGTAACCATGCCAGGATGAAATTTAGCCAGCTTTTTCTCGCGGAGCTTCATTAAGTCTTGCTTTCCAGGAAACTGTAGTTCAATTCCGTGGCGAGAAAGTTGCTGTAGAAGGCTAGGTACTAAAACTTCTGACCCGACTTGAAGAGTGGAGGCGACATCCCACTGCTGCAGTGCCTGTTGTAAAGCAATTTCCGCGCGCGAGATGCGTGAATCGAGGAGTTTGGCTTCGTGTTGGTAATCTCCATTTTGGTCACTCAGCGGCGAGGAGCGGTGGGCTAATAGGGAAAGGAGACATGCCATAGTACAAAGTATAGTATCAAGAAGAGTAACCTGAGGTCCCCAGCATCCATCTTTGCCTTGCTGACGAAGTACATATTGGAATGACTCTGGAAAGAGCCAATGCTGGACACCATTCTGATCTTTCTTGGTGACCATCGATAACCATGCCGTGTCGTATAGGGAAATGCTGAACCCCCCAAAGCCAGTTTGGCTCTGGCACCCTTTCGCAATGCCTGTCACCAGATGCTGAGCTCTTGTTACCACGTCCTGTGGCTCTGAGCTCAGCTTTACTTTTTTCACAACAGTCATGCTTTCAAAGAGGAATAATATGTAGATAGGAGCTAATGTGGTCTCAAGTGTGGCTTATCTGGAATTATCAAAAGTGATATGAAATATTATACAGAATGCCGTGGCTGCTATATTCCCCGGGCCATTTAGATATGATATATATTTGATGCATTCGTGTTCGGACACTTGCCAACCGGAAGCATCGCTCTACATGGCTAGACGTATCGGCAATGACCCTCGAGGCTATTATAGCGACAGAAGTCATTTATCATATTTCCGGTATTGACAGGTAGCCGTTGAAAATTCACGTATTAAGTCTAGTGTGAACTTTCCGAAATCCATAGACTTTGAGCCCATCACTTTATGGAAAGGTATAAACATCTTTTTTACTGAGTAAGAAATACTTATTTCTGATTTGCTATGGACTACTTCAAATACGGTGATTTGTAAGAAAACGAAAGCTAGTCAAGTGCTACGTTAAAAGTTATATTCCTTAGTGTCAAGTCTACGGGTCGCATATACAACGGGATAGACCAAGTTGTGTTAGATAACAGAGCATGACTAACCGTCATTGGAGGAATATTGAGTAATACTTAACTATAATCTCACATGCATGTATGCATGTATGCATATACGAGGGTCGAATACATGAGTACTTGTTTTGAAATGCGGCGTTGTGGGTCCAAGATCCCACCGCGGAGCCTCGAAGCTCAGCCCTTATTCTGATTATCGATTCAGCCATCAATGTTCCAGACCGGACAGTCTGACGAACATCCCCAGCAAGAAACTCGCTTAACTATTAGTTGCAGCTAATTAATGCAGGAAGGGATGTTTATTACAACTAGAAAGATAGCACGTGTGACTTGTAAGAATCTTACCTAGAAGGTCCGCACCGATCGACAGGAATATCCGCCCCGCTTCGGGAAGGAAAAGGAAATAAAAATAATTAGGAAATATCAAAATCATAATACACAATTGTGAGTACCGAAAAGTAAAGAAAGCCACGGATATGGTGTGATTACAGACTTGTATTTGCAGGAGGTTTGAACAGAGTGTACGGTATTATCGGCCTGTTGTCCCCTCGTTGGCTGTTATTGAGCAAGAATGCTGGGTTATAAGTAGTCTAAGAACCACGGTTTTCAGCGGTACAGCCTAAGTATGACATTCAAAGTTTCTTATCCTATCTAGAGTGAGTTTCAATCAAACATCATCGTCATAACCATCAACAACAACAAAATCATCATCGCCGATAACATCATGGTGAACGATACCGAGTTATGGACATTGGTCACCACGGCACATCCTTTGCCAGTTGAATCGATCCATTAGACCTACACTCTTCTCTTTCTGGCGGTGGGAGCATACTGTTGCTCCATCTTTTGGAGTCAGATTTTTGGCTACAAATTGCCTATATTCGGTACCAAATCCCCGTGGGAACCTGTGATTATCTCGAACTTCCGATTCTTTCACCACGCCGAACAAGTGCTTCAACAGGGATACAATGAGGTAGACACCATGAAACAGACAAACAAAGGCTTCTATTGATTCACTAAGATGATTGTAGTGCAAGAATAGAATCTTTCAGTTCCGCCGCGCAGATACTGATATGCTGGTACTACCTCCTAAGTATGTGGATGAGATTCGCAGGTTGCCTACCCATATCGCAAGCCCAACCTTGGCTCATGTTCACAACTTAATGGGTTCACGCATCAATATGCATATCATTTTGCGCAACAATCTGCACTTTCGCACTCTACAAGTCAAACTGACCCCAAATCTCAATTCCATAACGCTTCCTATGCAAGAAGAAGTGAACTACGCGATTGAGAAGGATTTCACTAAATCTGAAGGTCAGTGCCCCATTTCAGACCGTTTCATCTGAAGAATGAATTACTAAGTCAACAAAAGATGAGTGGGTGACGATAAAGCCATATCACACTATCCTTGACCTGGTGTCACGCGTCAGTGCCCGGATATTCCTTGGCCAGCCCCTGTGCCGCAATCCGCAGTGGCTAGAGCTGTCGACACAATTCACCGAAAATGTCTTTGTCTCCCTGGTCTTCCTGCGTCTCTTCCCCATGTGGACTCATGGGCTTTTGACATGGTTCATGCCCTCATCTTATCGAGGAAGCGCCTATATTCGTCAGGCTAAGAAGCTCCTCGTCCCGGAGATCAACCGTCGCCGCAAACTTGCGTCAGAGGGCATTGAGGAACCCGCCGAAAACAAGCACAACCTGCTCTCTTGGATGATGGAGATTGCCACACCGGAAGAGAGTGATCCAGCCTCTCTCGCCCATTTGGAAGTTGTACTTTCGCTGGCTGCTATTCATACGTCCCAAATGAACGCTGTACATGTGCTTTATGACCTGCTTGTTCACCCCGAGTACCTCGAGCCCATCCGAGACGAGATCCGGACCACTATACTGGAAAACGGCCCGTGGATGACTTGGGAAAAGTCTGCCTTCTCCAAGCTCCGCAAACTGGACTCCTTCATGCGCGAGTCCCAGCGGGTCAACCCCCCAACCCTACTGTCAATGCATCGGGTGTTACTTCAGGAGGTGACCCTCTCGGATTCTACGCGTCTCCCCAAAGGCGCGCATATCAGTATGGCGGTGAACGCCATTCAGAATGACCCGGAAGTCACCACCGACCCCGAAACCTTCGATGGGTTCCGTTACTACAAATTGCGCCAACGTGAAGGCGAGGCTCACTTGCACCAATTCTCGACTACACAGGACCGAATCTTGAACTTCGGGCACGGAGCTAATGCATGTCCGGGGCGTTTCTTCGCCGCTCTGGAAATTAAAATCATTCTAGTCAGACTATTGATGGACTTCGAGTGGAAGTTGAAGGAGCCAGGCAAGCGCCCAGAGAACTTGCACGCGCATGAATTTATTTTCCCCAATCCCGACGCGGAGATTCTGATGCGGCGCCGTCCAGCGTCAGAATGTCTCCAGCTGTGAGGGCTGTATTAAATGTTGTTAGTGGTTTTTTATTTCTTGCCCAAAATTACGCCCGATAACTGTTTTACAATTACAATGAGAGGCGTAGCTCAACACCCGCACAAGCCATTCTAGGCGCATAAATTTAAGTTAGCCAACTACGAAGTAGTCAATACTCATTTATCTCCCAAGAAACTAATGCAATGGTACTGCAGACGGAGATATATCCTAATCTGCGACTGTCAACCCAATTTGGCCCCCAAGCATGAAAGTCGCATCTTACGATAGATCACCGCATCAATAATGGGTCCACTCAATCATCGCTGTGTTCTGCTCGTATTGAGGAGTCCTCTCGTCCGTATCTCGTGTTCTGAATGATCAGCTCCCAGGATGACTAGAACCCCACAAGTTAACTGGCACAGAGGGAGAGAACTGGGAAAGCATAAAGCTTACCCTCTTTTGAGCCTAGGTATACTTCATTGTGCTACCCATTTGACGCTGAATACCTTTGCACGTTCTAATGGCTCGGTTTTGGCAGTTCACTTGGTTGATCGTAGCCGTTACGGCGACAATCTCACAGTCCGCCACGAATGGTATTGTTCTCCAGAGTTCGATCAAGAGGAAACATGGAAAGGAAGCCGCGGTAGCTGACTAGGCATTAGGAATATCTTCCTGGGGCACCCTACCGTCACCGAATTTACCGAGATTCCTCAGCGACGGTGTAAGTCTTCTTGACTTTGGCGAGGCATCACTGTCAAAGAACGAACCCTAATTGGCACTCAGACGAAGGAAGATGTTCCTTGGGGGAACGCTGATCCTGCCGGACCTGCCCCAGATACTGGCGTTACCCGTCATTATAACTTCACAGTCACTCGGGCATATAAATCTCCTGATGGCTTCAATAAGAGCGTCATTCTTGTCAATGATCAATTTCCGGGACCCCTGATCGAAGCCAACTGGGGAGATATGATTGAAGTGACAGTGACAAACAATATTGCTAGTGAAGACGAAGGGCTGACCTTACATTGGCACGGACTGACCCAGCGCAAAACTCCTTGGTACGATGGTGTGCCTGGAGTATCTCAATGTCCAATTGCCCCTGGCGGAGGCAGCTTCACGTACACTTTTCAGGCAGATCAATATGGTACTGGCTGGTATCATTCGCACTATAGCGCGCAATATAATGACGGCCTCTACGGGCCGATGGTAATCCATGGACCTATTCAGTCCGAGGCGGCTGAATATGACATTGATCTGGGGCCCGTCATGATATCTGATTACTACCACGTTCCCTACTATCAGATCCTGCAGGAAAGTTTCTCCAAACCACCCCAGGCCGTTCCCGTTGATAATAATCTTATCAATGGAAAAGGGATGTACGATTGCAACGCTACTGAAACACCCCTTGACTGCGATTCGGGCAGTGGTCTGGCACGATTCCAATTCCAGTCGGGGAAACGACATCGACTCCGCCTCATAAACACCGGCGCTCTTGCCAACCAGAAATTTAGCATTGATAATCATGATCTACTGGTCATTGCAAATGACTATGTCCCCGTGCAGCCCTATCGGACCAAGGTCGTCACTCTGGGGGTCGGCCAGCGCACAGACGTCATTGTCACAGGTACGGGCTCGTCGACTGATCTCGTCTGGATGCGCTCCGACATCGATATGGTCTGCCTGCAGAACACAGCTACCATCTCCACGGCACGCGCGATTATTGCTTATGAAGCCATCAACGAGACTAGTCCAGTCTTGATGCCCAACACAACCGGCCACTCCTGGATGAGCAACAATTGTCGCAATGACCCCCTTAACCGCACAATCCCCTACTACCCTCTTACACCTACCGACCCCACTACCACGCAAACCGTTACCATCAGTGTTGGCTACAATGATACCGGCTTCATCGTCATGTTCATGGATAATTCCTCCTTCCGTGTAGATTATAACGATCCCATCCTCCTCGCCACCAAACAAGGCAGCCTCACCTTCCCCACCGATCGCAATGTGTATAACTTCGGCACCAACACTACCGTCCGGCTCATCTTCAATAATACCTACGCTACAGCCCATCCGATGCACCTTCACGGCCACAACTTTTGGGTCCTAGCCGAAGGCCAAGGGATTTGGGATGGCCATATTACTAATCCATCTAATCCCCTCCGCCGCGACACCCATATCCTGCAGCCTGGAACGGCTGAGAATCCTGCGTACGCAGTGCTGGAATGGCGGCAGGATAACCCGGGCATCTGGCCCTTGCACTGCCATATGTCCATCCATTCGAGTGCCGGGATGGTTATTCTGGTCATGGTAAGTCCCTATTGATTGCTTTTCCTTCTCCTTTTATTGTACACTTCAATATCTCCTCCCACTTATATTACTCAGCTAGTATGCAAATTGATCTTTAAGTGGCCGTTGCTAACGAGAGCTTATGTGTTGGGGACTTTAGGAACAGCCGGATCTTATCCAGAAGGACATGGAAATTCCGACGGTCATGAAGCAGACATGCGATGACTGGGACAGGTTTAGTCATGTTGAGGTTGTGGATCAGATTGATTCTGGAGTGTAAGTGGTAGTTGGCTGGAACGTGTGAAATTCGACTTATTGTGGAGGGTATGGGCGGTATTACGGTATCCTATGTATCGCTGTGTCGGACAAAAGTCGGGTACGGAGTACTCTATCGACAGATCGGGAAGAACGGGTGTATAGGTCCCCAGTGTATTTTTACAGCTCAGTTTTTCCAATAGTCATTACTAGTACTGACCAGGTCCTCTACGGTAAGAACCAGAACTATGTACGATACCGAGGAAAAACCCCGGGATCTCATCCAATCGACATAACGAAGTAAATACGCGACCTGCATCAGCGAGATGACCCTGCGGTGTCATGTCCGAGCCGCTTTTCATCAGCTACCAATCACAACCGAATTTCCCACTGCTTGAGGCTGTCAGAAGGAGAAAGGGGGTATGTGGGTCCCTCGGTTTTGGGCCGCTGATTGTCCTGAACGTAGCATCTGCCCTGTGCGCAACACGAGGTGGTTAAGAGACGGCGTTACTTTGCCCAGTGCTTAGTGTGGGGGCCACATCTATGCCTTGGCCGACCATGATTGATCCGGGGGTCGAGGATGCCGTCGGCTGGTTCCAGTCAAACCCCGGACCTTATTTAGTGTCAGCCCACAATTAACTAACTATGCTTAGCCCCCATGTTAATTCAGAACGTAATCTCCGCCCCTAGCTAATCATGTTGTTGTGATCGTTACCGGATATGCCCGTACTAAGACGTAAGCATGGAGAAGACAGCCTGTCATGTGGCCGACACCGCCGCATCGCGTACTTACTTTCCTTCGCCGATTGTATGTGTCAATTTCTCATTTCTCAGTATCTCCCAGGCCAACGCTCCCCTCCTCCTTCACCCCTAACGCAATGGCTCTTCTCGTCATTGCAACCCTTCTGCTCATCCTCGTGAGTTCTCCTCTCCATCCTCCCAAGGATCATTTAAGTCAATCTAACTAGAGAATCAGTACCCCACCACCCTCATAATTTACAATCTCTTTCTCCATCCTCTCGCCCGCTACCCCGGCCCTACCCTTTGGCGTGCATTCCGCTTCCCCTTTCTCCTCGCCAACATCGGCGGCCAACTCCCCCATCGTATCCACGATTTCCACGCCCAATATGGCGACATTGTCCGCGTCGCACCAGACGAACTCTCCTTCGTGGATCCCCGCGCCTGGCGGGACATCTACACTTCAGATCGTGAATTCGTCCGCCCGCGCCAATACAAAGACCAACCTCCCGGCAAAACGGCAGCAAACCTAATTGCATGCTCGGAGGCTGAGCATGCCCGCCTTCGCAAAAATCTGGCACCAGGCTTTTCGGAGAAATTCGCTGCACTTCAAGAACCAATTCTTCAGAAATACATCGATACACTTTTTGCGAAGCTGGACGCCAAGATCGCGAGCAGTGAGGGTGACAGCGCCAGCAAAGGTGCGGAGGTGGACCTGGTGGAATGGATCAATTACCTCGCCTTCGACGTGATAGGTGATCTCACCTGGGGTAGCTCGTTCGGGTGCCTCGAGGGTCTGCGGTACCATCCCTGGGTGCAGACCGTTAGCCAGTTCAAAGCTGCTATTGTTGTTGGGATGATAAAATTCTATCCTCCGCTTTATCGTTTACTCATGGCCATTACCCCAGCAGATGCCCTGAAGCCGGTGATGGAGATGTGGAAGGTCACTGATGAACGGGTGGCGGAGCGGGTGGCCACTACTACTCCTAGTACTACCACACGACCAGACTTCGTGGGAATAATGATGGCGTCGGGCGCAATGACGCAGGAGGAGATGGAAGTGAACTCGATGTTAATCATCGCAGCGGGGAGTGAATCAATAACCACCGTTATTACGGGCGTCATCAATTATCTTCTGCGGGAGCAGGACCAGAGGTCGCTCCGTGAGTTGGTAGACCTGCTTCACAACACCTTCCCCACGGAAGAGGAAATCACAGCCACCAGGCTGAAATCTGTCTCATACCTCGACGCAGTTTTGATGGAGGGCATGCGCCTATGCCCAACTATTCCAGATGCCATGCGACGACAGGTCCCACGCAATGGAGCCAGGGTAGCCGGGCAATTTGTACCTGAAGGGATGATTGTCTCAATTCCTCCACTGGCTAGTTACCGCGCGCCCGGCAATTTCAGTAGCCCGACCGAGTTTGCCCCGAGACGGTGGCTGGGAGAGGATAAGCAATTCGATCTGAGTAAGCAGAAGAAAGCTTTCAACCCATTTTCGCTGGGATCGCATAATTGTCCTGGCCAGAATTTGGCTTGGATAGAGCTGCGGCTTATTCTTGCACGCTTGTTGTGGAGGTATGATCTAGCTGCGGTGGATGTGCCGGCTTGGGAGAAGCAAGGGATTTGGTGGTTTTGGGATAAGAAACCTCTTGTCGTGAGGATTAAAAGAGCTCATTAGAGGTGGAAATGGCGTAACGACTCGTGGCAGCATCTTTTGATAGGATTAGAATCCATATCAACAACCCGGACTGGTAAAGAAAATAAACAGCTATTAACATGGGTCATCCTTAATTAAAGTACCAGTAATGACATGGCACCCCATCTTGCAGCATTGATGTAGATCTCTCTGTTGACTTTTTTTAGTGAATTTTCTGCCACTTGTGCTTCAACTAATAGCCTGGCGCTGCAGCCAATCTGCATACCACAATAGTGGATTCTTGAGAATGCTGCGCCGTCGCCCAGGCCTGACCGTCTAGTATGTTATGATAGTACAACTTCACATGCAATCGAGTCAGCCTATAGAGAAGCATGACTGCTCCTGATCTTCCTCATACTAACATAGACCACATGTATCTATAGTTTCCATATATGCAACCCTGGCATTTATTGAACGTGCTTCAGCCCCGGTCTCATCCCCGGTTGAGACAGAGTATCTATTGTCCCACGTAAAAAGGCCCATATCACCCTCTCATGCGGTCATAGCTGCAGGCTAAACTTAGTAATGATACTTAAATTATAAAATCTAGGACTGCTACTTGTTTCAAGCCGAATACAGTCAGTGCTACGGCCACCACCACCATCTTGAGTGCCATTCCCACTATTATGTGAAAGGCAAAACTAATATGGAAAAACTGGAACAACTCCCCTTTCGAGAAGTCCGCAATATATTAGTGACATCAGGAGAGCAGATTGCGTGCCATGAGTGTCCGGTGTTTCGTTACTCCACACAGGGCTATGCCGAGGAGATAATAGAGACCTCTGACGCATAAGAACACGGTGCCTAGGCCTGCGATGCGGCAGGTGATGGGGTCTTCCTGGTAGTTGAATTGGGGGATAGTTGAGGATTAGTGCGGATGCTGTCATTAGGTTATTTCGTAGAGATGATGGAATATATAGGGACTTTTTTGCGAAGTGGGGGTGCGTAGCCCTTTCTGATGATTGGCTTTAGTAAATTTGATTCACATTGTCTTGTCTGTTATACATACTATGTAGTATTCCGTATCCGTGTCACTGTAGTAGGCTCGATTTCTACTAAAGTTATGACGAATACCACGTTGATATCCCAACAAAGGAGCCCTAATCATGATAAGATCAACGGTAACAATAGAGCCTCATTTCATGATCTACCTGGCAAGTAATGACAACGTCATCACGGGTCCATGGTAACTGTTTCCACCGACGCATTGGCTGGTCATTTGCAGTTTTCTCTAGCCAATAAACCCCCTTGAATCTCCGAGATGTTGGAAGAATCGCCAAAATCCACTTTGCTCTCTTGGCCAATGGCGACGCGTCATTTCATTGTGTGGGACGTGACTGGAAGATGCGACGAGGGATGGAGTAATGTGGAAGGGAAAGGGGTAGTGAGGTGGATGCTATGTCAAGTGTTCATATCGGAATATAGTGATTCGCTAATTACTCTATTTTTCAACTCATATAAGATTGAATCATTAGTTTTTCCAGCATTTGCCTTGTTCGGCTTTTGGTTAGGGACTTGCCTGGCAACATGCGCAGTACATCAATGCAGCCCTGAGATATGATACGGACTTACATGCTTTTGGTCATTTACACAAGGAGACGACCTCTATTGTTTTGTAAAAAAGAATTTGCCTATTACTATCAAGAGTCATCTTGCAAGATTTTTGATACCATGCTGAATGTCATCATCGCTATGGAGTAGACCCTTTACCTCAAGAGCCGAGAAGAGGAGGCAAATATAGATATAATAGATAAAGACCAAAGGAAAAGGGATTGTCTTAAGGAATGAAAGAGATAGGAGGGAAGAGAAGGCCTAACTTGGTTGCTGCTGCTAGTAGAAAGGCAGGGTTAACCCAATTTGATCTTTTGAGTCCCCTCTGATAGGAGTAACAGGCAAATCGAGGATGCACACGAGTGGGTAAGAGCCCGCAAGGATAACTGTTGGGGGAAGTGAAAAGTTGGCGCTGATTGGCTGGTTCGTCAATCACCACCCGCCCAGACGCGTATTGTGCCCTAAATACCAAAACATATGTGAACTCTGAGTAAATAAAACAACGGTCAATGAAATGAAAGGGGCATTTGAACTTCAACATGCTGTGTTTGTCCCCTTGTCACTCCTTATCATTGCTCATAAGGATGACTGCTGTCACGATGCCAGCAAAGCCACACTAAGACTCATAGTTCTTTCTAGCATGCGGCTAAGCAGGGATGTACGGTAGGAACCGGCGACGTTCAAGCGTCGCAGGAATCGCGCCGGTGAAGCACTCTCCCGAGCCCGATCATGAGCCCGGAATGGCCTCCTGGGAGCCTTCGATTTGACTCATTCTTCTGCTATATAAGTTTTCTTCTGCTCTTATTTCACAACCAACAGTCACAATCTCCAACATGGCTGCCTCCTCCACAGGTGATCCCAGGATAACTACCAAGTCAGAACAAGATGCCAACAGTTCTGCGCAAGGCCAGCATGCGGCCAACACTGAAGTCAACAATGTATTGCCAGAAACGAACCCAAACGCGATGCACGGTTTTAAGCTCTTTGCCATTTTTGTAGGCATATGCTTCGGCGCGTTTCTGATGTCATTGGATATTTTCATCATCGCAACTGTACTACCCTGACCCCCTTCTTTATCTATGTCGTAGTTGACCACGGCTAGGCCATTCCATCCATTACAGCCGACTTCCATGATACCGCCCAACTGGCCTGGTATCCAGCTGCGTACTCGCTCACAACATGCGCATTGACTCCGTTGGCAGGCAAGTTGAGCTCAATGTTTCCGCTCCGCTGGATCTACGTATCATTCTTCTCTATATTCCTGCTTGGCAGCCTCGTGTGTGGCTTTGCGCCAAACAGCAACACCTTCATCGCGGGCCGTGCAATCGCAGGTATCGGGGCATCCGGTGTCGCAAGTGGCGGCTTCGTTATCGTCCTGACTGTATCCCCCGAAAAGTCAAAGCCAGTGCTGCTCGGAATATGCAGCAGTTGCTTCGCCATGGGCCTTATCCTAGCACCCGTCATTGGTGGAGCATTTACGCAATATGCTACTTGGCGGTGGTGTTTCTGGGTTAATCTTCCTCCAGGTGCTCTGACATTGCTGGCGATGCTGTGCTTTTTCAGGCCCCCGTCCATACAGCGCGACCGGACTGCTGTCCAACGGATCATTGACTTGGATCTTATTGGTTGTGCCATTTTCATTCCGGGTATCTTCATGCTTCTTCTTGCTATGATGTGGGGCGGTACAAAAGAGTCATGGGACTCAGCGACGACCATTGGTCTGTTCGTAGGATCTGCTGTCATGCTTATCATCTTTGTTTCCTGGGAAGGCTACAAGGGTGAAGACGCAATGATACCGGGAAATATCGTTGCCAGACGAACCATCACCTTCAGTGTCGTGTTCTCATTTTTTCATTTCGGCTCTGTCGGTATTATGAATTACTATCTTCCTGAGTGGTTCCAGGTAGTGGAAGGCGCCAGTCCGTTGGAAAGTGGCACGCGAACTCTGGCTTCAGTGCTCGCTCAAATAGTCGGGACCCTTTCTGCTGGATTTCTAGGTATGATGCCCCACGGTAGCTGCTATCTTGAAATGGCAGTTAAGCACAAGCTAACACTAAGCATTGGCAGCACGCAAAATACACTACTACAATCCTTGGCTGTACATCGGCCCCCTCTTCATGTGCACTGCAGCAGCACTATACACACACTTCTCGACCTTTCACACTCCTTCCAGCCACTGGATCGGCTTTCAAGTCATTCAGGGTCTTGGTGTCGGCATGGCACAGCAAATGCCATCGCTCATCATCCAGCATTCCGTGCGCGACAAACCAGAGCTCATGCCGGCCGCGATATCTCTGAACCTATTCTTCCAGTACTTAGGGGCCACTATCACGCAATCCCTTGGCGGTATCGTATTTCGCTCAATCCTACTCCCGGAATTGGCAGACCATGCTGGTTTGAATGCTGATCAAATTGCGCTGGTGTCCGCTGCTGGAATGGCGGATGTACGTGATACCGTTGACGAATATTTTCCCAATCTGTTAGGTCTCGTTTTGGAAGCTTATAATAAGGCTATTACTTCAACTTTTGTGAGTGATCCTTTCTATGCAGCCACTGTGATGAAAGTGGAACTAATCAAATGGGCATGTTAGTATGTTGCTGTTGGGACTACAGCTGCAGCGTTCTGCTTGGCTTTTGGGGTGAAGTGGGAGAGAATTACTGAGAAAGCGACAAATGGTCCGGAAGAGGCCGTAGCTGAAGAGAAGTAGATCTTTCTACTTTGTATGTGTGGAGGGTGTGTAGAAGATGTGTATATTTCGAAGATTATATATTATGCTCACAGAAGTCTCATCTCATCTCTCACTTGTGTTTGTCCACAGGTATCACTGACTACTACTCCACCAAGGGTGGAGATCACACAGAACTTGAAGCTGCTACTAAATGCGTGCCGCATTTCGGGATGCCGTATTTTTTATTAAAAAAATGGGAAGTAGTTGAAGGCTAATCTTGCCCGAGGCAACGAATTTCCAGACGATAATTAGATATATTTCCCAATATGCTAGAGCTCACTGTCAAGAGAGCATAAGGCTACGCAAAGGCATTAGTTACTTGAATCTTGCTACGAGGCTGCCTAACCACCCGTTACGTGTGCCAGTCTTCCGGCGGAACATACTGGATCATCGCGCCCGGAAGCGGGGCATGATCGAGCGATCACATATCAGGAGAACCCATTGAACTAGATAAACGATCGGACATCGCCCGAAGGATTGTCGTTGTGTACAAACCCACAGTGGATCGGAGTATTACGTGAGGTTTCTGACTGGTCGATCGGGCGAATTGTTGGGAGCTAATTTAGTAGCATTTTGGGCGTGGGATGGATTGTCTAGGCAGTAACGTTCGGCGGCTATTTACGGTGAATGAACCATATGACTTTCTGGATGTGTTCAGCCTGCGTATAATGGACTTGATAATATAAGTAGATGGTAGTGGTATCATTGCTCATGGGCATATTGTTTGTGTCTGATATAACTGGACTTTTTTGAGCTACTAAATTTCAATACATTTCTGCCACTACTACCAAGTCAATTGCCCGAGCTGGCATGCTAGACTGCTTTTAGGGGCTATCTTGAGAGCAACTACAGACTACCCTGAAAGCTGTTTAAGCGCCGAAGATCCCGTAACGACACTTCAAGCACTGTGGATGCTACGTCAAAGCAGACCACTGGGAGCGTTATCACTTGATAATGATTTAGATGAATGCGTGTCTTTCTTTGTCTATAAAGCTAGTCCAAGTTAGACTCAATTGTAGGGGTTGCGTTAGCGTATGTGGAGTCTAATGAGAAAGTAATTTCCCACGATGAAACCAGTGACGGCCAGTGGGTAGACGGGAAGGCTCGGGCCTTTGCGCTATTCTGTACTGTTACTTTACTACTGTCGTCACAAAGGTACTTCAAGATACCTTTTCTTGAATGGTCAACTGTTGATGTTTAAGGAATATGAGCTGGGGTAGTGGTATCTCTAAAGACTGTCTGAAAACTCAAGCACGTATTCAGTAGTTAGGGGCCAGCAAATTCTCTTCGACAACACCAGTCCACTCAAATTCCACTTTTTGTTAATACAAAGCTGGCCAACTTCATAAGACATATAATCTTTGCAGCCTCAACCAGATTTGAAGATAATAACTCCAGCTATAGGGGTTCGGGAACTTTGCCTGGTACTGGTATAGATTATGACAACTCTTATGCCCTTATACATGCGCCACTGACATTTAGGTTTCTAGGTCATATCTGCTACTGAAGAAAGGATGCTTCAGTCCTGCATGAATTGCCGACAAGAAAGACGATGTTGAGATGCCTACGACTGTACCATTTGCCAGAACTTCTTGGCCTGTCGAAAGTGCTACGGTCAAATAGACATTTACCTAGGCGACCGGCCGGTCCCTGGACCGAAAGCGCATGTACACAAGTTCCAATTATGGGACAGCCGGGAGCCAGAATTCCAGGGCATGTCCATGCAGGGATCCTTACCTGATATTGAGGAAGGTCTATACTCGGAACTTGTCGATCCAGAGGAGTCGGACCAAGCGCCGAATAGTGATAGCGGCAGTGACGCAAATGATCTTTTTTTAGAGGATCCTCCTGCGTCTGTCGGCAGTAGCACATCCTCTGGATATAAAGAGTATGATCAGAAGGGGTTTTGGTAGGGAAGGGGACTGAAATAAATTAGCATCTGGCGTACAATTTAGTTATTACATGCTGCTTTGATGGGCCATATCAGACGATCTCTATGATTTATAGATACCTTGTTATAGGAATGGGCTCATAGCACATAATGGTTATACAATCATTATGAAGGGCTGGGATAGCTCATTTCCCTGCTATGTTCTTTCGAAGGTGAATAGGGTCCGATTTCAATGATGAAGCTGGCTAGTTGGAAAGAAATTCGCTTCATCATGGGGTGGAAGGTGTCTGATACATCGTAGGTGCTTTTCGCCTGAGAATGACGGAAGGGAGACAGAGGAAGAGAGTAGGTGTGTGATGATATGTGATGGAAAGATAAAGACACAGTCTGTAGTGTGTACTAATATACTGTGTTCTCTGGTATCACCAGAGGGACCGTGTATATATTAAAGATTGCATGTGCATAATTGCATATCTTGGTACTAGCTTCTCCTACCCATAAATTGATCGTGGTCACCCGTCGCTGTAATTATGGCCGATAAACTTATGTCTCCATGTCAAAGATTATACCAAAGCATGTTATCACGAAAATATACTGCTATTTGGAACGTGATCAACAGTCCCCGCACGAGGTAGGTTTCTGGCTCCTCCTTATTCTTCGGCTCCTTGGTGTCCACTGCTTGAAATAATAGCTGTGATCGGTGCGAGGAATATGACTTTGTGGGAAGTTGGACCACGAGGGGAGCTATGCATTATCGGTAGATATGGTCTCTGTCGAATTTATCCATGAGGGGTCGGGCATATTCCCGGGCCGCAAGTAGTTGTTTCTGGAGAATTGCAGGTAGGACGCAGTGGGACAGAAGTTTTGCTGACGCGTATGCTGGAAAATTCGCTCGAGGTATACTGGGCATCATTGTAGCTAGCATGGGCTGAAGCGTTGATCCAGAATGACTCCAAGTTGTCGAAATAATTAACTGAGAAAGACATATCCGGGAGATTAACAGAGGTACTACCCTCCAGGCCTCTCATCCATTGCTGACAGTTCAGCCGGGTATGCTCCATCTGGCGGTACTTTATATTTCCCCGGTCCCGACATCGGATAGTACGTATCCGCTGGTAGTTCAGCAGTAAATTCTGGTTTGTGATCCTGCCGATATTGTCGCACAAAAGCATGAGGTGTTTGTGAGTTCATTGACCCCGACCGTGAATACTCACTCGGTGACATGGGCACCTGATAGGACGATCGTCGGGACCGTTCATCCGGCGGCATGGTGGCAGAGGTACTTGATCGATCCGCTGGGTTATAAGTCCTAAGCACTCCGTCTTCCATAATACCCTGCAAGACACCTGCATCGAGGAGTTCGGCCTTCTTGATCAGGCGATCCACCAATATCTTGGATGCGGCGCGCAGCTGGCTCTTCACGAATGAGATCAGTGTAAGGTTGCATTCGATCTCGACCTCTTCGCGCAGACACAATCCTCCATTCTTACTCCCCGCAGGCTCTGTAGCTGTGAATGCAAGCGACGGGTCATTTATCGGGTCCTCCACAATGCGATACGTGTTGCGCAGATCAACGCCCATGGGTGCGTAGGTGTGGGTTACCAGCCCCCAGGGCTCATCGTGGAAGCAACCTTTGAAGCTGATTGTGCCGGGGACGTAGCGCACTCGCTCAGTAATCTCATACCATGTTGAGTAGTACTCGTCTGCTGGGGCATTGCGTGGTGCTTTGATGGGGTGGTGGGATATGACAAGAGGGTTGAGAGAGATGATCTCGCCGTGGTTGTGGAGGATGTCGATGGCTAGTTGACGGGGGATATTGGAGGGGAGGGAAATGGTGTTAGTGTAGACTTCTTTCTTGCGCAGCATTATGATGGATTGCCGTTAGTCCGGGTTTGCGGTAGTCCGGATGCAGGGTAACATTGTAGGTGGTGAGGATGATGATAATGATAATGATGAAGAGAAAGTTGTTGATGCCTGCGTGGGAAAAGAGGTGGGGGTCAGCCGACCTCGTATTCGGCTGCTCAGACCAGAGTTTATCAAGGCGGGCCAATGTCAGCCATCAGAGCTGAGGCAGAGACGGAAGTAAGCAACAAGGCAATTGTTCAGCGAGCAGGCTGATCTTCAACCTAGTATCTCCAGAATCAACCTAGTATATATATGGTAATCAGTTCGCGAGGGTGGATTCTTTCAACTCCTTGGCATTCAGCGACCGTCTATCGCTGCCATAACAGTAGATAGTATGCTTTGGTATCATTTTAAAGAGCCACAGGCCAATTTCAATCAGGCACTGCAATGGGTAAAAAGTCAATTGTTTCTTTTTTAGACTCAATGAACTATGGACTCGAATAACTTTAACGGGTTAGACTCACAAGTGGGGGCGTCTAGAAATCCCTTACCTAATCATATTTCTGCCTTATCGGTTTAATGTACATCCCTTCCGAGGATATGTCTCGTTGATTCCTTGGGCATCCATTATGATGACTATACTATGAGCTATCCCCTAATAACTTCAGTGATAACATTATTTTAGGAGCACTTTAAGATACACCTCCATCCCATGCCCGTTCAATATAAAGCTAGTCTAAATTTGGTAGCCATCATCACAGCCATTCATATGTTCGAGATATATCCCTGCCCTACAGGCTATCCCAAGTACACTAGGATTGTAGCTCGCAGAGCCAAGAGGATTCTTAACTCCAAGACCATCCTTGTCTCCCACGAAGATCCCCTCCCATGCAAGAGAATCATCCTGATGATCTAGTGCAGCAAAGGGACGACAAACAGTCATATGGGAGGATGTTTCGTTGGCAGCTCCTTATTCATCTCGACAGCGACATCAGTAAGACCAGAAATGTCACCTGCTTGGTCAACAGGCCTACCAACCTATCCCGGTTGATTAAATAGGAAAAGTGGGGAAAGTAAGATGATCAGGAGGCTTGTATCTATCCTAAGATAGGATATTGGACTCAGGTCTGGGCGGACTGCAATGTAGCTAGCTTTGCTCCAAGCGATATAATTTGATTCGAGCACATTAATTCTTCTGCGTTGAAGTCGCCTCCAGCAGTTTGTCAGTCCGATATCCTCTTCAACCTTCCCAGTGGGTATGTGCGTCAAGGGGACCTGGCATTAAAATGCTGACTTCGGACCCATAGGCTTTCCTTTTCTATTCTTACCCAGTTATGTATCATGGGCAAGTCCGTATCAGACATTAACATTTAGCTCACGCAGTTACTATAATCCCCCCTGTTCCTCGTTTAGCGATACCTCCCTTCCTTCATCCTTGGGGGGTCTAAAGCCTCTGTTACGATACATTAGTCCCCTGGAAATACTGATAGAACTTGACCAGATGCACATACTCATAGTAGCAAATTCACGTCTCATGAATCCTTCCGAGCTTAGCATCGGCTGTCTGCACCTCGTTGGGTTAGTTACTCACAAGGAAAAGAGAAGGGAAATGTATCAGAGACTGACAAGACCCTCAACAAATTCTTTCATCATTCTTGTCTCACGTTCCAACCAATTCAGGTGACACTGTTTAATCGGCTGGGGCGTGAATGTCTGCGCGCGATCGAAATCCATCCATAATACTCGATCAGATGTTATCTGTACCATCATGTTGCGAGGATATGGAACCCCATGGTAAACACCAGCACGGTGCATCTCTAACAGGATCTGCTGGAGCTTATGAAGTCGTTTTTCGGAGTAGTTCGATAGACCAATTGGGTGAATATCTGGTACATACTCCATCAAAATAGCATTCGGATATAGGGTATCCTCAACGAAGTCTTGCAAATATGGTAAATAATGAAATGGGTTGATGTGTTCGATCAGACCATAGAAAGCTGGGACATGTCCTCGGTCACAGAAGCCATGTTCTCGTAGACGCATAAATGCCGCGCTTTAGCACTTGAATGGATCAGTTTCGCGATTTCAAGGACGAGTTCGATGTTTGACGGGTAATGGCCGTGGAGAGTGATACTACGTGTATTGGAAAGGTCAATGGTCATCGCAAAGAGATTCGGTCGGCTGCTTCATGATACCTACCACTTTCAAGATACAATCTTTCTCATGCCATACCGTGCAAAAGATACAAGATACTGGTGAATTCTTGAGCTGTTTCACAAAGCTGACCTCAGAAAGGCTAAAAGTCGTCATGGTTGATGGCTCCTGCGATGCAATGGACCTTGAGGATGAATGATGTTGGGAACTCCTTGGGTGAAAAGCAGTGAAGAGTAGATACCTGCTGGGAAGGTCTCGGCACATGAACCCCACATGATCTGACGGTAACAGCCGTTGAAATCTCAGTGATCGCTAGAAAAATTCGCAGACTGCCAGCAGTCATGTATGAAGGAACCGACCAGCACCAGGAAGTTAGCGAGCAAGAGCAGAAGGAAGATAACTTTTTAGGGTCCGAACTTGTTAGACACGCAGGCTCTGTGGATGCCAAACTCATAGTGCTTCTAGGCTCTCACACCCCGCCCCTCAAGCCGCTCGAGCCTCCCTTTATCACATTACACTAGTGACTATAACTATAGGTATAATAGCGATGGTGATAGAGGCCAATGAAAATACAAGTGACTCTGGGCTATTCAGGCACCATGCCATCAATGCGCACAGAGTCAAAGGATGAGAGGCGAACATTATAGATATGCAATGTCGGCTGGGCATGGCCTACGTCTCCCACTAGACATGCACTCCTCTCTCCCGGTGGTCAGGAGAGACTGTTCAGACCTGAAGATATAACTTCTGGATCGTTTGCCATGTCATTGATCATAGCCCAAGGTGTGCTTGGATTCAACGGTCATATCGTAGCCATGGCTTCAGGAAATGTAGCAATTAGTATACTCAAATTCTCTCCTCTCGCTTCTGCACCCATTTCACTGCCCCCTACTGTGGACGTTAGTGTTGTTACTATGCTCTACTACTCCTGAGTCTCTGGCCTCCCTATTCTCTGGTTCCTCACTCTCCTGCTCCTCACTCCCCCGGTACTCTGTTTCTTCACTTCCTGACGAGAACTCTTCACTGTCAGATAAATGGTCCATAACCTCATACGCAGCCTCAGCCCTGTGCAGAAAATGTTAATCATGCCATATCACTCATATACGGAGTACCCTACCAGCCTTGTTCGTGGAGCGGATAGAAGCTTCCAATCATCTGTCGCCAAGGGTTTTCCTTCATGAAACCAAATCTTCCAGCAAATTCTTTTTCTTCCGGTATTGCTGAATCGGATCCCTTAAGAATTTCGTCCGATGTGCCGAATAGGAATGGAATGCTAGAATGGCGAGCCACAAATTGGCGAACCCTGATTGAGTCGATCGTCAGCGCGACAATCAGCGATAAGCCTGCTCCATTGTTATCTCTCCTATTCATAAGTAAGTAGGAACGTATAGGGTTATGTTGAGACATTTTGAGTCACCCCTGCTGCTTGGTGGCCATCGATATATCGTTTTGTATACCATTTTATTCTACTTGGCAGAACTCTGTTTTGACAGGTTACAATTATATTTACTGGTATAAGACTTATATTGAGGATAAATCTGCTAGATACTAGTCTATTACTAAAATTAAAAAGAGAAAAGGTAAAATGGCTGTTTTTTAGGTCTTGAATTAGTTAGCTGTAACTAAGTGATTTGTTTCGCATTACTCCACCTGTTATTGGGCAGTTGGGGCCGAGATGCCGCGAATGATGGAGAGAGACCGGAGTTGGACCGCAATTCCGGATATTACTAGTACCTTACCTCCAAGTACCAATGCACCCTTCTTTAAATGAATCACGGCTGCTCGACAATCAGCCTTCTGGAAGCGTTGGCGCCTTGAACACGCTGGTTTTTATTTTTCCCTGCTTTTTCTTTCTTCCTCCCTTTTCTTCCCCTTCAACCTGTTTCATTCCCCGTACGCCGTCCACGTATCCACGAACATCATGTTCGCGTCGAGTATCCGATCGAGAGCTCTGGGATTGAGCCCACGAGCCCGGTTTGAGAATACGTACGAGAGAATCTTCCCTTGCAATGCTTCTCTTTCCCTCCTCAAAATTCGACAAATGCTGATAACCATTGTTACTAGTCGTCTTCCATCTTCCAGTAGCGGGCGCCGTTATAGATCCGATGAGACCCTCAACCGAATTTCCTCGAAAATCACACAACCCAAATCCCAGGGTGCTTCGCAAGCAATGCTCTACGCCACCGGCCTAACAGAGGAAGACATGTCTAAGCCACAGGTCGGTATCTCCTCGGTGTGGTTCGAGGGTAACCCATGCAACATGCACTTGCATGACCTGTCTGCCATTGTGCGAGATTCCGTGCTCCGTGCGGGTCTGGTCCCTATGCGATTCAACTCAGTTGGAGTGTCGGATGGGATCAGTATGGGTACAAAGGGAATGAGATACAGCCTGCAGAGCCGGGAGCTGATCGCTGATGGTATTGAGACGGTGATGAATGCCCAGTGGTACGATGCGAATGTGTCGCTCCCGGGTTGTGATAAGAATATGCCAGGTGTATTAATGGCGATGGGACGCACGAACCGACCTAGTATCATGGTCTACGGTGGCAGTATCAAGCCTGGATGCAGTGCAAAGGGCCAAAAATTGGACCTGGTCAGTGCATTCCAGTCATATGGCCAGTTCATCACCGGCCAGATCGACGAGAAGGAGCGGTTCGATATCATTCGCAATGCATGCCCCGGCAGAGGTGCATGTGGTGGCATGTACACGGCTAATACGCTGGCCACGGCTATTGAGACTATGGGAATGACTGTTCCTGGTAGTAGTAGTTGCCCGGCAGATGATCGCAAGAAGCTAGTTGAGTGCGAAAACATTGGCGAGGTGGTTAAAAATATGCTCAGGGAAGATATCAAACCCAGGGATATCTTAACACGTCAAGCCTTCGAGAATGCAATGATTGTGGTGAACGTGCTGGGTGGCAGTACTAATGCTGTTTTACATCTGATTGCCATTGCTGACTCTGTCGGTATCAAGTTGACTATTGATGACTTCCAGACAGTATCTGATAAGACCCCGTTCCTGGCTGATTTGAAGCCATCTGGAAAATATCTTATGAATGATCTTTATAATATCGGTGGTACACCAGCCCTTCTGAAATATCTCCTGAAGGAGGGCTTGATCGATGGCTCAGGAATTACTGTTACCGGTAAAACAATGAAGGAAAATGTAGCCTCATGGCCTGATTTTCCTGCTGATCAGGATATCATCCGCCCCCTCAACAACCCTATCAAACCATCTGGCCATCTCCAGATTCTTCGCGGATCGCTGGCCCCGGGTGGTTCCGTGGGTAAGATTACTGGAAAGGAGGGTCTGCGGTTTGAGGGTATAGCTAAATGCTATGATTACGAAGATGCATTCATTGAGTCCCTTGAGCGGGGTGAGATCAAGAAGGGCGAGAAAACAGTCGTGATTATCCGGTATGAAGGCCCCAAGGGTGGCCCAGGAATGCCCGAGATGCTTAAGCCCAGCGCGGCCATTATGGGTGCTGGACTTGGCCAGGACGTTGCTCTTCTTACAGATGGAAGATTCTCGGGTGGCAGTCACGGATTCTTGATCGGACATATCGTGCCGGAAGCCATGGAGGGTGGCCCGATCGCGTTGGCTCGGGACGGTGATCGGATCGTGATTGATGCTGAGGAAAGAGTGGTTGATCTGGATATCTCTACTGAGGAGCTCGAGGAGAGGAGGAAGGAGTGGAACGCCCCCCCGCTCCGATACCAGAAGGGAACTTTGAAGAAATATTGCACGCTGGTCAGCGACGCCAGCCATGGTTGTGTCACGGACGGGCCGATCTAGGTATCCAGTCTAAATGTACAAAGACAGCAGTTAGATGAGAATTAAAAGTCCAAGTATACATATCTTCGGTTTTCATCGCAGGTTAACTTACCATATCTCATTAGGCCCTGTAGGAGCAACTCTACATGATGATATTACTAGCCTGGATAGGTACCACTTGCGTTGATTGCCATCTGCGTCGATTGCCATCAAGATTTTCTACTGTAAGAGCCCATAAGGCAACAAGGAACCGAGTGCGAGCAAAGGCCGAGCTGCAGTTAGACTTGGGAATTGGTCTACACTTGCACATTTCGCGGCCTTCTTTCTCTGGCCAGTCAATGGAGGGCTGCCTGTCGTCGTCGCTGACCACCATCAATAGGCACATACCATCGGGTCGCTTCCGCTGAATTGCCCTATTGATACATACCTACTCTGCGCCGATGAGCCAGGCATGGCCTTGGTATCCGATTTCCGTATTACGGATTACGTGCCTGTGACTTGCACTTTGAAAGGAGTACATAGCTAAATTGATTAGGATCCTGCCCAGACCGGTCCAAATAAAGGGGTATCGAAGGAGTAGAAATTGGTATCACACTCTGTTACGTTCGATGTTTCACTGAAGACTATCAACGACCAAGGTGGTGCGGCCAAAAAAGCCGGGGTTGTGTCGGAAGATTCCCATATGCATCAGACCAAGCTCTGCTGGCGGAGTAATGAACTTTCTCCGCGGCGTGATTAGATTTTATCTGGCGATCGCTTGCTTATTGTTTGGACAACTCCCCACTCTCCGATACCGCAGGCTCCCTGTCAGAGATGCGAGCTATGATAGGCTCTGATTCAGTTTAAAGGGAGACTACCAAACTAATGTACAGTGTAGGGTGGTATCTACACCTGTATTTGGGGGCGCGAAATAGACCTAATGTAGATATCCGCTACCGGCTAATCCTACCGTGATCCACACGTATTCCAGATTACATACCTACTATCAATATCGAGGGAACCATTCGTCGCTGACTCCTTAGCTGCCATTGGTACGGATTGCGGAATCACATCCGCATCCGTAGGAACAGTCCCACTTGGATCAGGAGTGGTACCAGAGCTATGACCTATATCAACTAGCCCTGGGCTTGGCAAGTCCATAATATGACATTTTAGCCGCAGCCAAAATTCACGAGATATTTTACTACTATATAATCAAAATAAAGCCATTTCTATATATGAAAGAATCAAATAATTTATTACAGAAGCTAGTTCTAATATGACTAATTGAATGGCAGTTACTATATCATGGTGATGCTTGTTTTTTCTTAAAAATAGGCTCCATCATATATATAGCTTCTTAAGCAAGTTGCAGGCCCTCAACTCCTATTAGGACCTCTCCTATAGTAAGAAAAGCTCTAGGGGCTGTGCACTTTAATTTTGACCGCTTACTTTATCTATAAAGTTCAGCCATCTAATACTATAGTAGAATAACTTTATGTATAGTAGAGCTAGCTGCTTTTAACTAAGCAACGTAAGACAAGAGCTCAATGTGCAAAAATGGCGGGATTCTGAAGAGGCCCATGCCAGGCGTCGAACAACGACCTGTATCGGTTCTTGGGCTGGTCCCTCAAACTCGAGCGAGGAAAGAACGGTCGTGGTAACAAGGGTGTCCACAAGTCTAGCTTGTTGAATACCGACTGGAATAATCTTCGTGGTTACTACTAAAAACTGACTAAGATCAAGATCGATGATAAAGATTAGTCAGAAGTTCGGAGGATCAATAGCTTGAAGTTTATTCTTTTGAATCTCTAACTCTTTTGTCTAACCATCTGATTTATAGGGTATCATGTCCTTAGTTATAGAGCATGGTTTAGATATACAACAGAAAAGGAAGACGTCAATCTACATTAAATATATGAGCTCGTTGAATGAAACAATTCCCCGACTCGGCTAAAGAAGTTCTACCTTGGATACCAGCGTATCCAAGTATGCGTGTTCTATACGCTGGCTCTGTTCGCTGTACACCGCAGGAGCAGCGATCCTCAGCGCTTATGAAGAATCATTTATTAAGAAACTGGGGTCCTGTTCATTATCCAGCAACGCGACAGTGTGTCGAAACCATGTTGGAATGGGGTGCCACCACAGCTCCGTTGATAAGGCTCTTTCGGAGTGAAATCTCGAAACGTCTATTTTACTTGGAAATTTTCAATTATCAATTATTATTATACTGCCATCCCACATTACTCATACATGCATTTGCATGCAACTCCTCGCACCTTTATTATCAAACAATATCAAATCATTTTCGCTTGTGCAATTCCCCTATGTATAATGATTGTTTCTTCCAACATCTGCTGCCATATAGTGGCGTCCCAATCTTCAGCCACTCTAGACTCCGCGACTAGAGGGGTATCGTCAAGTATTCCTTGTGTTGATGAATTAGGGTTCTCAGCTTCCTGGATGTGTATTCTCACGAATGTCCATTGAATGTGCCGTGCAGGCATTTCCGGACCGCTTAGCCGAAATTAACGCTCCATACAATAACGCAATTAGAACTATCTTTGTGAGTAGACTGATGACCTCTTTCTTCAAAGTTCTGACAACGGATCTACGGTATCTTCCAATAGCTGGTAGTGCTCCGGCATTCATTCTGGCCGCCGGTATTCCTTGGATCAATGCTCCCTCGACGCGGGAAGGTAATATACATTGTACAGAGGAAATCGATAAATTTAAGTCTGACAAGAATCCCAATGTGTGAGACCAACACAGAGCCAGCCATGTGACCGTCAAGTTGGAATGATAACCCAGCAGAAATATATACTGTCCCTCGGTCCCTCACCACTGAAAAGGGTAGTAGTATTAGTATCTGACATGGCAACGACACAGGTTCGCTACAATACACTTTGACATTTTTCTCCAGTTTTTCTCACAGACCCCTCTTTTTCTTCAAGCTGTCGAACAAAAAGCAAGGACGATATTTTGCACTAAAATATCATTTTATTAGCATTCTCCTTGAACATATCCGGGCTTTTGTTTTCCCGATTACAGCATCACGTGATCATAGATTTGTGGGTTGACAGAAGCCGCCCGGAATAACTTCAAATATACAACCTGACTTCAGATAGAGCTTTCCGCTTAGTATAGCTCAACAGCCATGCTCGTCTGGGTTTTGTAACAGTATACGCGCATATAAATATACCGCGCAAATACCGCACCGCAGATACTAGCTCAGAGGCGGCAATAATCCCAGTCGTCCTCACTTTACTAAACTTCCCCTTTGCCCGTATGTTATATACAATCCTACCATCCTCAACTTCATAGTAGAACTAAATATCCATAGTTCCCAATATCATTACTCAATGACATTTTTGACATCTCCTGCCTCCAATTCAACGAATCAGATCAACACATGGCATCATCACACCTCCTCCGCCATACCGACCCCGGCCCCCTAACCGTCAAACACTTCATTGAGTCCTTCCAGCGCATATGGCTCGATTCACGAACAGCCCGAACAGGGCGACATCATGTTTCTCATCTCCCACGGAGGCTCGGTATGCCCTCTCCCATGCCTCCTTTCAACAATCTCAAACTAACACCAACCAGGTCTCGCCATAAGCGGCGGCGCAGACTCCATGGCCCTCGCCTACCTCTGCAAACAATGGGAACAAATCCAGACCCAAACGAGCGACGAGAAAGTCTCCGTCACTGCATTTGTCGTCGACCACAAAGCCCGCGAGGAAAGTACTCGCGAGGCGAACATGGTTGCCGGCTGGCTTGCTGATATGGGTATATCTATCCCCTACCCGTCACATCTACAAAACCGGATTGGAGTATACTGAAATAAAGGTGCAGGCCTACAAACACAAATCCTCCCCCTAACCTGGCCATCTCACCACATCTCCGCCTTCGAAACCCACGCCCGCCGCCTCCGCTTCCAGGCCCTCGGCCAAGCCTGTCGAGCACATAGCATTGAGACCCTCCTGATGGGCCACCATCAAGATGACAATGTCGAAACGACCCTCTGGCGCCTCTGCACGGGTGCCAGGGGTGCCGGACTAGCGGGTATTCCAGCGGTGACGCGCATTCCTGAATGTCACGGGTTGTTTGGCGTCGCGGAGAGTGGATCCTCAATGACATTACTAAAACCAGGAAACAGTGACTATCGAATAAAGACTACAAATACAAACGAACTCAGACTCACAGGATCATCATCTAACACTACACAACACCAACAAACAAAATACAAAATAGCCACAGGCGGCATCTCCATAGCCCGCCCCCTCCTCGCCTTCCCAAAACAAAACCTCCTCGCAACGTGCAAAGCAAACAACATCCCCTACGTCGAAGATCCAACGAACTTCGACCCAACTTTGACTCCCCGAAACGCTATCCGGAGTCTTCTCGCGGAGAAGAAACTCCCTCGTGCTCTGCGCGAAGAATCAATTCTTTCGCTAATGCGAAAGAGTAATATGCTTCTGCGGTCAGTGACGCAGTCGTCGAATGAGATCCTTGATCGATGCGAACTCCTATCATTCGCTCCTGATACAGGGAGCATGATAGTCAGATTCCCTTCACCACCACCACCATTATCAAATAAACCCAACTCAGCAGAACAGAAGAAAAATGATATCCCATCGCTCACCCTCCGACGCATCACGGAACTCATCTCCCCGTTTCCGGAGAATCATTTCCCGCTGAGGAGTTTCGAGGCCTTTACTTCACGTGTTTTCCCTCCCTCTCCTTCTTCGGAATTCCAGGGAGGAGAAGGCAGCACGGCAAAACAGCAATCCTTCACGTTAGGTGGCGTTATGTTTCAGCCTGTTCGATGCGATTCACCACAGTCATCATCATCATCTACATATACATCCAACACCGTTGACAACAGAGCTACATACCTGCTCACCCGCCAACCATACATGCGCAACCGACTTCCTATTCTTCCTATCACTGTTCCCATTTATCCATCCTCATCCTCTTCTCCTTCTTCCGTACATAGCACAGCGGACACTCAATCACCAAACAGTATACCCTCATCATCGGAATGGCACCTCTGGGATAACAGGTACTGGTTCCGGGTCACCGGTACGACTTCATCGGGGGCAACTCCAGAACCCACATCGCTATCGCTGATTGTGCGGCCGCTACAAAAGTCAGATTTGAAGAACATCCGCACGGCAGCGTCAAAAGAGGAAATGCGAGCGTTGATGGATCGGTTGGGGCGGGATGCGCCGGGATTAGTACGTTTCACGGTGCCGTTGTTGGTATTGGTTGGAGATGGAGGGAAAGAGGTGCTGTTGGCGTTGCCGACTATGGAGACGTGGTTGCCTGGAGCTGAAGACATTGTAAAGTCAATGTCCTGTAATATCCGGTGGAAGTGGATGTATAAGATGATTGATCAGGAACCGTTGGAACGGATGGGTTGGTTGAAGAACTAGCTAAGCTATGCTACAAAGAGATTTCCAGACAAGGGAAGTATGGACGAGTGAAAATATCACAAAGAATAGGAAAGTAAGAGATCGACATGCATAACCCGCCAACCCGAAGCAAACCCCGTCGGATGCAGTTCAGAATAGCCAAGCAGACCCGCAGGCTATGCCACGACACAAAGGAAAGAGAAGCCTTATGCACAAGTGCGGAATAAACTGTGCGGAATAAAATGAACGACGCTCCTGAGCATCAGCATGGCTCAGACGCCAAAACCACCGTATAATAGATTCCGAGAAAGAAAAAGAGGAAAGAAAAGAAAGGCCATCTCCAGTAACAGGCATACACTCATATCCAGTTCGAAGATATCCCAGAAAAAGAAACAAAACATTAGAATAATGAAAATGTACGTCACTGACGCGAGCCTGCTACCATTCAGCGCTCACTCACTTGCCTTCAACAAGGCCACCGCGGCTTGCTGCGCGCGTAATCCTCCCACTTCACGCTTCAGCCGAAAATTCTCCTTCTTCAACCGGCCAATCTCCTCGAGAGCCGACGACAGCTGTGTTTTGAGCGCTTCCTCGACATTTCCAGCTCTCACATCTTTAGCGATCTTACTCAATTCGGAGTTGAACCGATCGTAAAGAGCTTCGTTTTCAGCGCTGGCTTCGCGATAAAGTTCATCGAGCTTCTTGGCACGTTTCTCGCTGACCACCAGAGACGACTCCAGGTCCTTTTCGATCGCCGCGGTGCGACCATTGAACTCGCCGGATAGCGTTTCGAACTTCATCTCTAGGTTGTGGACGCGGGACACCAAGAACGAATTTGCGGTAGGCGAGGCAAATGGCTCGTCAAGGGAATCGGAGCCTTGTCCGTCACCTCTAACCAACGATGGAGTAAGTCTCATCGCCCGCAGTTCCTCACCAATGAGTTCGAGCTCATCCTTGAGACCTAGCTGCGCCATGTTTTGTGCTCTCTTTTCACTATTTAGGCGATCCCGAAGCTGTACCATCAATGTTAGTCGTCATGTCTCCATAAATAGACGCGGCAATAAAGGAAGAGACATGAAGCGTACCTTTTGGGGACTCTGCAACCGCATTTTGGGGGTCTTCTGAGAAGACGTCGGTTGCAGGCGTCTCGCATCGGAGCCGTTGACTTGAAGCGGTCTCTCCTTCAGACCAGGGGCGCGAGAAGAGGGTATACTTGTAGCCCGTGACCTTCTCTTGGCCTCTTGCGTAGGTGATACCGAGGCTTCGCCTTTTCTCCTCGTGGCGCGTTCCGTCTGCGGCATTTTGGGGTCGATGTTTTCTTTGCGGCTGGGCGTCACTGGACGTGTCGGTGATCGGCGGGTTGGCGAAGGCAACCGAGTGGGAGAGTTACCTTTGGCTGGTGATGTGCTTCTGACGGTCGAACCTGAGCCATGACTAGTCTGCGGCCGCGCCTGTCCAGCAGGAGTCGCCACGTCGGCCCGAGGTTGATTTGATATAGACGACGGAGTTGCAGGTCGTTGTCCCACACTGGATACGATAGATACATCGGAAGAGGCAGTGCCGGGTCGGAGATCCGAGAGGGAACTTCGTCTCTTGCGGCGCACTTTCACCACTCCATTTGTATTTGTTGGAATCCCACGAACGGAGGACAGAGACGGCGGTTGCTCTTGGGAACTACCTGGTCGTCGAAGATGTTCTTGGGAGATGGATGCACCTGGGCGGTCGCGGGAGCCTGGTCGCAACAGGGAACCTAGACTGGTATCGACGTCGATCGACTTGGACCGTAGCAGCGACCCCTTTGGCGTGCCAGGCTCCGAGTCACCCGAGCCCTTACCCTTGCTTAATGTCCTGAGGATGGACGAGACCTTGCTTTCTCCCTCCAGCTTGGAGTTTTCTCGGTGCAGACCGAAGCCGAAACGCTTCCGGAAGGAGGACGCGTTCGAATTCATGGAGCCTGCAGTCTGGGAAACCGATTTTGTTTGATCGCAGTTGAGAGTCCCTTCCAATGACGCACCACCAGGGATGTATTCATCAAACAGGTTATCAAAATCGTCCACTAGTCGGTCCAGGAGAGAGATATGCTGCATTGGGTCGCCATCGATTGTCAGAACTTCTGCAAAGGCCGCAGTCAACGCGCCCCGGTCGCCATCACTACCCGAGGCATCCAGCAGCTCCGCCAGCAGCCGGATCATGGAGGCCAGCGCACGCCGATTCTGGGGGCTTTGGTCAGCTAAGAACCTTCGGAAGCTTTCATCAAAGTCCCGTGGGAACATGTTGTCAAACTGCGCTTGCAAAATCCTTAGGGAAGGTGAGTCAATAACGGGGCCCATGTGTTCCCTCCACGCATTGGTCATAAACGTTTCGAAGGCCACAAAAAGCGTGTCAACTGGAACTTCGGCTGCTGCTTGGATCCGCCCGGGGTCTTCAAGCAGGATGTTGTATAGCTCATTGACCGACGACCGATCGACGTTATCCCTTCCGCGAAGAGACCGTCCGACAATATTCCCACTCCGAGACTGCAGGGCGAGTGCATAAGCTGCAAATGTTTGCTCCAGCGCACTAAATGGACTTTCCTCGCCCTTGGTCGGTGGAGCGCCCACCACTGAGATTTTGACCGGACTCTCCTCCTTTCCAGGGAAAACCGAAGGCAGTGTGTTCGAGCGCGGCATGTTGCCTCGGGGCGGTGGCATTTTAGGGTACTCTCCCAGTAGAGTTGCCGAAGTCGGTGCCTTGGCGCTGGGTGCATTGCTTTCCTTTGATTGACTCCCCCCCAGAAGGCTGGAGAGCAACTTCGAGGGCGAAGGGGGCCGGAAGCCACGCGGAACTTTAAACTGAGCCATGAGGTGTCCGGCGAGGTACCGAAGAATGTCGAAGTTGGAATGTACGATCGACTCCGTCATCGTCCGATTTCGAGGCCCATGGAGAGGGAGGAGGACATTTAGTACTACCAGGGTCAGTACAGAAATAATTATCGGCCAATTTGGCAAGTACTTACAGCGCTTGGAGAGTACGGGCACGAAACTATCCACGGTGACCATATCCGAGGAGGCAGTGCCGACTACGGAGTCAACATCCACCCGGTATTGGTCTTCATTGGCCAAAGACACGGACACAATCACCTCCAAGTCAGATTCTTTCAACTTCTGGCTGCAGTCCGCCCTAGAAGTATCGAAAATCACCCGGATCTTCGACAGATTGGCCCTCTGCGCGGCCTCTTCCGGCGCTTCTTCGAACACACATGCTAGGATCCCGAGATTTCCAACCGTACCGGTTGGACTGCGCAGCGACCACTTGCCACTTTCACGCTCGCTCTCAGAGAATCGGCCCTCAATTTTAGCTTTCGCAATCTCCTCTATGATTCGGCTCGAACGACCCTCGTACATGGACACCGGCTCGAGCGCAAGCAGGTCCACTGTCGTATTCTGGTCGGGTCTTGAGGTGGCAGATGCCGGAGCCAAGAACAAAACCCGGCCACACGTGGACTGCGTACATCGCACGGTGTGTAAGTCGTACACTTGTACCACTCGGAGCTCGGATGAGGCAGGCGAATTGGGCGCGGTGTTGGTGGCCGCGGCGGCGTTATCTAGGTCGGCCAGGAGACCACGCGCTGTCGTTTTTGCCCCCACAGGCTTCGATAGTAATACCAGACAATTCTTGTAAATCAGCATAATCCCCGCGCTGGGCTCGGTGGGTGGAACATCAAGATGATAGGGCGGAGTGAGCTCGTTGAAATCGACGGCGGTGATCAGGCGGCCGGTCGGTAGAATCGTCGAGGGCCATCCATCAACTAGCTCTTTCAACCGTCGAAAGCTCTGGTCGTGGTTGGTCGATGAAGCGTCATCGAGCGAGCAAATGTCCTTGATAACATCGCGCGCTTTCAGCAGTGGTCGGACAGCCGGGTGAACCAGAGGAAGACTGCCGGTCATGGTGTCGATCAAAAGACTGTAGCGAGGGAGACGTTGCACCGGCTCCATGAGAAGGGAGCGCAGCTTTTGCTCTCCGGTTTCGTAGACGCGCTTCGAGAAGCTCGAGTGCTTGTCTCTCATAAATGAATTCAGCGTCTGCGTGAAGCCGGTATGAGCCCGCATATAATCGGCGTACGGCTGGGAGAACCGGGGGAACCAATCCAGAAGCGCATTGGCAAAAGCCACTGCGCCAATCGCATCCGTTTCCTCCCGCGAGAAAGATCGTTGCGACACCGACGACGGCAGTTCTGTATCATCCGTGAGGTCATCAATGGCTTCCTTTTCCGTCTCCTCGAGAACCTGTCGAATTACCCCCAGGAAACCCATGTTGACCTCCAGGATTTCATTCAAGCATGGCGGAAAGAGCGTGGCCAGATCGGACTCATTGGGGCTGGTACTTGATGGGCCTCTTGCCTGGGCCTTCAACCGAAATTCCTCCGCCACATGACACACCAGGGTGTAGAGCTTGTTCACATATCTCTCTTCCGTATCCACCACTTCACACATGGTCAAGCGCAGGGCTTGTTTCTGGCCTTTAGAGAAGAGCCGGGACTTGCTCAGGTTCGTCGGTTGCGACGGGGCGCGCTTCAGTCGGGAAGTGGGCAGGAACATGGGCGCTCCTAGGGATCGTACCAGAGCCGTATAGCGTCCATAGTGAAGATCGGGGGCATCGTACAAATCTGCATTACCATCATGAACATCATCATCGTTATCGGGCTGGGTAGGAGGTTGGATCACTCCGGTGGGGAGGACCACATCGATATCCACCCAGGGGACCTTGCGCTCTTGGAAAGCACCACGAATGTCGCGCACAATGTCGGCGGTGTGTTCTATCTTCGTCATGCGATTTGCTATTTCCGCCGCGTGCATTTCGTCGAAGAGCTTGGGCAGTCTCAGCCCCGGTTTTCCGGCGCGGGCGAAGGTCTGCAAGCACTCCTTGGCGGGGTCCGACAGCTCTGCAAAATACTTCAGCATACTGACGGCGAGACCACGACTGACTTCATCGCCTTGCTTCTCTCGAGGCAAGTGGTTGACCGCGGCGTATAAGGGGGCTGCGGGGGAGACGGTAATGCGCGGGTAGCTTTGGAAGCCGGCGGGGGTGAGGATATGCGCCTGAATGCGCGAACTGCTAACGGTGGCATTTGCAGTTGCGACGGGACCGTAGAAGATGAAGATGGACGATAAATACGGATCGGAGGCATGGTACAAGGAAAGCTGCTCCAAAGGCAGGTCCGATGGGGCGGTTGAGACCGTCGCCATGATGGCGGGGGGGGAGGAAGGAGGGAGGGAGGAAGGAAGACTGGTTATCGCATGCAACGAAAGCGTGGGTAATTGCCGACCGATAAATTGGCGGGGGTTTTTTGGATGGAAAGAGCGATCAAGGATGATTAGTTGCACTAGTAGATAGCCAATAGGTGGGACAGATTATTAAGTGCAAGGGCCAATCTTAAGGACAATCAGAAACCGAGAACGATAAGAGAAGAGTCAAGTAAGTAAGTAGTAGTCCGTGAAATAGGAAATCAAAAGTAGGAAGAGTTAGTGAACAGTGATCCGCGATCAGTGATGCCCAACCACAGAAAAACGGGATGGGCAGGTCCCAGGAGGGGATTAGAATTAGGGAAGGACTATGGCAAAAGAAGGTCGATGTAGATGGACGAAGACATAATAGAAAAAGCGGCGATGTCGCACAGTCAGATGGAGTAACGAATGAGGGTCCTCATGCAGCGGAAGGGGAAAGAGAAAGAAACCCCTCCATGGGAAAAACTGGCGAGAGTGATGAGAAGAAGAAGAAGAGAGAGTGAGTGAGTGAGTTGGTGAGGAGAGAGGCGGAGAAGGAGGAGGAGAAAGGAAAAGAGGAGAAGTAGAAGGTTAAGCAGCGACGGTGATGGCGATAAATCAATCAATCAATCAATCCATCAATGGATCGATCGGATCGTAAGACGCGTTTCTGAGGGGAAGGGCCCAGACACACACACACACACACACACACACACACACACGCACTTGCTGAGGGAGCAAGACAGCGACAGGAACAAGCTTTCCCCGAGTGAGTGTGTTTGTTTTCGTCTTTTGACAGCCAGCGAGGGACTTGCAGGGGATTTGCAGCGTTGGACCGAGCGACTGGCGACTAAGTTGGGTTGCTGATGGCTAGTGCTGCAGCCTCCACGATGAGGGGAAGAAGGAAGAAGATCGGGTCTGGCCGGTTGGAGTGACGCGCCTTTTTCTTACACTTTTTTTGTTGTTTCGGGCACGCGGGGGGGAGGGGATCTGGCAACACTGAATCTGGTTTAGTTTGATCGGTGGCAGATCGACTATCCTCTCCTTTATTCACCGGGATCAGAATGCTCGGTGATAAGTATAGTAACCATCGATAGAGAAAGAATGCTAATAGCTTATTTTCTACAGCGTATACACTTACCGAGAATGCCATCTATAAAAATGTCGGGATTATTTCTAGTATTTTCTCTCTTTCCCTCCGCGCAAATGGAAGAATCACACGCCGACACGTGTAGAGGGGAAAAGTGCGCCAACTGTCAACAATTGTCCGGGAAAAGAAAGCCACAGGAAGATTCTTGGAATCCCACGAGAAGGGTCACACCCGCTGCGAAGTTACTCATATTGTGAAGGGAAGACTCTCCAAGGTAAGGGTGATTCAGGTGCATGCATTGATTACCCCGAAAGGACGCAGTTGTTTACTCCATCGTCAGATAACCAAAAATAATGCTAAACAAAATAATAAAAATAATAATATAAAAAAAGACCAGTGTGGGACCGGCAAGCTGCTCTACTACCGTCTACGGACTGCCAGATTGATAGATCGCACTATCTGACTCGGACTGGCCACACCGCCCAGATCCCCAAGCACAACATCGCATCCCCAACCATGGATCCTTATTCTTAAACCCAGTCCCAAACCAAACAATCAATCCATTGTCTTCTTACCATTTTTTCTTTATGGGTGGATCGGGAATACCCTCCCGTTCCTTCTCAGATGTCTATCTTGGGATAGTATTGATAGTATCATATTACCATCAGCTCTTGTCCTGATTATCGATTACAGGTTAAACTTTATAAGGATCAAGCAAGGCATTCTCATACGATCCCCCGCAACTAGCCTCAGCAAATCGCAATGGGAGAAGCAACCCTTGCAGATTTCCCCTCCCCAAGTGACAAGAGTAAAAGTAGTTACTGCAGCGACTGGGATTGGGGGGGGCATAGTAACCATGAGGGTTTTCTTCTGGTTGATCTATTCGAAGGGAACTTATCCCATGAAATACAACACCGGCTAACAAGTTACTATCTAACACTGTAGGCTTTACCTATATAAAATTTATAAAGACTTAATCTCTTTGGTTCTACATAATTGATCACATCTACTTACTCCCTCGTGAAACCAACTGTTTAGTTAAACGTCCCTGGCCGCCGGAGACGGGTTGGGCCTAAACCCCATTGGGCAGGTATGGAGAACCTCAGGCTCGCTCTCCGCTCGCCGGAGCCAAAAGAAGACCAGCTGTTGTGTTCCCGCTCGCCGAACTCAACTTGCCTCCCCCCTCGGCTCCTCCAACTCCCTCTCCTCATCCCTCCTCTACCCCCCCCTTCCCTCTCGCTGCTCTGTTCGAGTAGGGCCATGATTTGAACTGCTTCTCATTTTCCGGCGATTGTTTTCTGGCCGCTCCCTCTCCCCTCCCTGCTCTTCGTCATGTCGTCCACGCCTTTACCCATCGCGGTCGATCCGGTCGCGTTGGTGATTACGGAATGCATCACAGTCACCTCGGCCATGCGAAAACATGCCCGGTGGGCTCACTCGTCCGTCTCTGCCATCCTCGGTGGAGGCGCCGTCTCTCGTGTCTACGACCGGGATACGTCTGCACCCCCAAGCCCCCGCAATGGGTCTACGCCGCCCCGTCCAAGATCGAGGATGTCCTCCGCCGATGAGGACCACGCCCTCGCCAACCGCTGGGGTCTCCGGGGCAAGAAGGGCAAGAGTATGCAAGACAACCCGCTGATTTCAGCCTTCGCCAGGTTGCGGAGCGACCTGAAGGGTTGCAAAGATATCCGGTCCTTTGACGCTCCTGCGTTGCTTCACCCGTTCCTCCAGGTCGTCCGATCCTCGTCCACCTCCGCCGCCATTACCTCCCTTGCCCTTGTCGCCCTGACCAAATTCTTCGCCTACAACATCATCAGTTGCGATTCCCCTAGACTCCCCATGGCCATGCAACTCCTGTCGGCCGCCATCACCCATTGTCGCTTCGAAGCCAGTGATTCGGCCGCCGATGAAATTGTCTTGCTGCGGATCCTGAAGTTGATGGAAGGAATGCTGTCTCGGCCGGAGGGCGAGCTGCTCGGAGATGAGAGTGTTTGTGAGATGATGGAAACGGGTCTGAGCATGTGTTGTCAGGTCCGCCTGTCGGAGGTGTTGCGGAGGTCCGCCGAAATGGCCATGGTCAACATGTGTCAGGTCATTTTCATGCGCCTGTCGCACTTGGAGGTCTCTGAGTCCGACGAAACTGGATCGCAAGCACCATTGCGCGCAGAGACGGAGCAGACCAGTCTGAAGATGGACCCGTCCGTCGACGGGAACACCGTGACCTCGCAACATCCCTCCGCCATGGGTTCCGACACTGGGGTGACTGATCGAGACCGTGGCAGCCGAGACGGATCGCCCGAGCAGATGCTGAATGGAAATGCCGTTGCCGCGCCACCGAACCCCCAGGATGACACGGGCGACGAAGTGAAGCCATACTCCTTGCCATCCATTCGGGAACTGTTCCGCGTCCTCATCGACCTGTTAGATCCGCACAACCGCCAACATACCGAGCCCATGAAGGTCATGGCGTTGAGGATCATCGACGTTGCCCTTGAGGTCGCGGGGCCGTCTATCGCGAAACACCCGAGTCTCGCTACGCTGGCGCAAGACGATCTCTGCCGACACCTCTTCCAGCTGGTTCGATCCGAAAACATTGCAATCTTGACTGCATCGCTGAGGGTCGCCGGCACCTTGCTGCTCACTTGTCGGCCGGTTTTGAAGTTGCAGCAGGAGCTTTACCTGTCCTATCTGGTCGCCTGTCTGCACCCGAAGGTAGAGATTCCGAAAGAGCCTGGCATCAACCCAGCTCTTTACGACGGTGTACCGCAGGTGCCCAAGCTAGTGAAGCCGTCCCCATCGCAAACGAATAGTGGAAGGTCTACGCCGGTTCCCGTGAAGGATAGACAACAGTTAGGCCTGGAAGGTGGATCGCGGAGGCCGGAGACCCGGGAGGCCATGGTCGAGAGCATTGGCGTGCTGGCACGCATCCCGAGCTTTATGGTAGAGCTTTTCATCAACTACGACTGCGATGTCGATCGCGCCGACCTGTGCGAGGATATGATCGGCTTGCTCTCCCGTAGTGCGTTCCCGGATTCAGCTACGTGGAGCACAACAAACGTGCCCCCGTTGTGCCTGGACGCCCTACTCGGTTACGTCCAGTACATCTACGATCGGCTTGATGATGAGCCGGTGTATGAGGGTTTCCCTTCCATCGAGCAGCTCCGAAGCCAGCGGAAGACGAAGAAGCTGATCATTCACGCCGCCCAGAAGTTCAACGAAGATCCCAAAGCCGGCATTGCTTATTTAGCATCGCACGGTATTATTGAGGATCCGAGTGATCCCGCCCTCGTTGCTCGATTCTTGAAGGGGACGACTCGGTTGTCAAAGAAAATTCTGGGTGAATACCTGTCCAAGCGCAATAATGAGGAGCTGCTCGATGCCTTTGTCGAGCTTTTCGACTTCTCTGGAAAGACCATCGTGGACGCCCTTCGTGATCTTTTGGGTGCTTTCCGCCTGCCTGGCGAATCTCCCCTGATCGAACGAATTGTCACCACCTTCACCGAGAAATACATGCAAAAGGCTCAACCCACTCAGATTGCCGACAAGGACGCTGCGTTTGTACTGACGTACGCCATCATCATGCTTAATACAGAGCTCTACAATCCCAACATCAAATCCCAAAATCGCATGTCCTGTACCGATTTCTCCAGGAATCTGCGGGGTGTGAATTCGGGCCAGGATTTTGCGCCTGAGTTCTTGCAAGAAATCTACGATTCAATCAAACATAATGAGATCATTTTGCCGGATGAGCATGATAACCAGCACGCGTTCGACTTTGCGTGGCGGGAATTGTTGCTGAAATCCTCGTCTGCCGGAGAGTTGGTCGTTGGGGAAACCAATATTTACGACGCTGAGATGTTCGCCGCTACCTGGAAACCGGTGGTAGCGACTCTGTCCTATGTCTTCATGTCGGCCTCAGACGACGCAGTTTATTCCCGGGTTGTCACGGGATTCGATCAGTGCGCCCAAATTGCTGCCCGTTATGGCTTGACCGACGCCTTCGACCGTATCGTCTTCTGTCTCTCCTCGATCAGTACATTGGCTACCGACAAGCCTCCCAGTACCGCTCTCAACACCGAAGTGCAGGCCGGTCAGAAGAGCGTGATGGTGAGCGAATTGGCGGTAAAATTCGGACGGGATTTCAGGGCTCAACTGGCGGCGGTAGTACTCTTCCGTGTTTTGGCTAGCAACGAAGCCGCAGTTCAGCAGGGCTGGACATATGTGGCTCGGATCCTCAGCAACCTGTTCATAAATTCTCTTATTCCTGCCCTCGATTCCAACCTCAACGCTGAGCTTGATATCTCGCCAATCCCGTTGCAGACTCCGTCGCAGGTCGTGGACCGCGATGGAAGGAATACAGAAACTGGGCTTTTATCTGCATTCACATCATACCTTTCCAGCTACGCAGCTGATGAGCCTCCGGAGCCGTCAGACGAAGAGCTGGAGAACACCTTGTGCACCGTGGACTGCATCACCGCTTGTTCTACTACCGAAATCTTGGCGAATATCAAGTGAGTAGTTATATTCGCTGTCCTTTATTACTGGGATCTCTAACTTGCTTTCAGGTCCCTCCCATTGGAGACGGTGTCTCTGGTTGTTGAAGCGCTTTTGGCCCAGA